CCCATAACCCAGGCATGTGCCCTTACTGGGAATTGAACTGGGACCTTCTGGTTCATAGGTTGACATTCAACCACTGAGCAACACCATCTGGGCTGGACCCTACTTTCTTGTTTCTTTGTATGTTTGTGATTTTTTTTTAAAAAATAAAACATTTGCCGAGACCAGTTTGGCTCAGTGGATAGAGCATCGGCCTGCGGACTGAAAGGTCCCGGGTTCGATTCTGGTCAAGGGCATGTACATTGGTTGCGGGCGCATCTCCGGTGGGGGGTGTGCAGGAGGCGGCTAGTCAATGTTTTTCTCTCATCGATGTTTCTAGCTCTCTATCTCTCTCCCTTCCTCTCTGTAAAAAATCAATAAAATATAGATTTAAAAAAAATAAAAATAAAAATAAAACATTTGAATCTAATAATCTGGTAACTCCAGATTCTCCCCCTTCCTTAGGTTCTCCCCCTTCCTCAGGGTTTCTGTTTTTCGTTATGTACACATTCGTTTGTTGATTGGTTGTCTGTGCCAAGGGTCAGCCTAGGTATAAACTTTAAGTCTTCTCCGGTTTCTTCTATGCCTTCCTCTGGACATACACAGTCACTTCCTAATTTTCCCTATATATACAGTTGCTTTTGAATGCCCTAGTATTACATATCTGGGTTCCAAAACCAGAAAAAGAGAAAAATGAAATGTGGGGAAGAAAGATCACTGGTCCTGTAAATCCCCTGAAAGTCACCTTGGCTGGAAGGGAAAAGGTTTGCAACAGTGGAGGGAGGGAGGTGCAACAACTAGGGCTTCTCTCTTCTCTGTCACACATCTCTCATCAGAAGCATCAATCAGTGATCGTTATCACAGACCTGCCCACCTTGGCTGCTGCTGGAACTTGTGCGTAGCTGTCTGCGGTGAGTCTAGGGCAGTGGTGGGCAAATTCATTAGTCACCAGAGCCAAATAACAACAGTACGATGATTGAAATTTCTTTTGAGAGCCAAATTTTTTAAACATAAACTTCTTCTAATGCCACTTCTTCAAAATAGACTCGCCCAGGCTGTGGTATTTGGTGGAAGAGCCACACTCAAGGGGCCAAAGAGCTGCATGTGGCTCAAGAGCCGCAGTTTGCTGACCACAGATCTAGAGTATGGGGGAATGGGTAACTGCCAATGTGCTAAGTGATTAAATTAATCAAAGTTGATAATTTACCATCCAAATCTTCCTCTGGAAGATGCAAGCCTTCAGTAGACTGTACAGTAAGAGATTCTGCCAACACAGTTATTGTCTAGTTGGGGAGACAGGTTCCTGGTGCTTCCTTCTGTGCCATCTTCACAGAATCCCTTCCTGTGTACACAAGTTTTTATTTCTATGGATAAATGCCCAAGAATATAATTTCACGGGTGTGGTAATTCTTTAGTTTTAAAAGAAACTCAAACTTTTTTCAAAGGGTCTATATCATTTACATTCCTACCAGCAATGTCTGATGCTCCTGAGTCTCTGCATCCTTGCTGATATTTGGCATTACCACTAATTATTATTGTAGCCTTTCTGATAAGTGTGTAGTGAAGTGTGTACTCATCATGGTTTAATTTCTATTCTCTGATGGTTTATGAACATCTTATCATGTGCCTATTGGCCACTGATATATCCTCTTCTTTCTCTTCATATCTTTTCTAATTGATTGCTTGATTTTTGTTTTGTTTTTACTTTTGAGAGTTCTTTTATGTATTATAGATACTGATCCTTTGTTGGATATGTGGTTTGCAAATATTTTGCCCAAGCCTGTGCCTCGTCTGAGATCCTCTCAACAGGGTTTTCAACGGAGCAAAACATTGTAAATTTTGATGATGCAATTCATTTTTCCCTTTTATGGATCATATTTTAAATGTCAAGTCTGAGGACTATTTGTCTAGCCTGTAGATATCAAAGGTTTTCTCCTGTTTTTTTCCCCCTGAAAGTTTTATATTTTTTATACTTAAGACTGTTATCCATTTTGAGTTAATTTTTATATAAATTGTGTGGTTAGGTCAAGGTTCTTTCTTTCTGCCTATGCTTGTCCAATTGCTCTAGCACCACTAAAAAAACACACCTCGTTATTTCATTGAATTACTTTTTCATCTTTATTAAAGATCATTTGGGCAAATTTGGGTGGGTTTATTTCTGGGTATTAAACTATGTTCCACTGAACTGTGTGTTTATCCCTTCTCTAATACATATCCTCTTAATTACTATAGCTCTGTAGTAACCTTTAATTTTGGGTAGAGTGATTCTCTTTCCATTTATTATCTTCTTTTCAAGATAATTTTAGCTACTTGGAGGTTGTGCCTTTACATATAAATTTCAGAACCAACTGCCCAAATTGTATTAAAAAAAACCTTGTTGGGATTTTGATGGCAATTGCATTAAGTCTGTGGATCAATTTGAGAATTGACATCTTTATGATGTTGAGTCTTTCAATCCATGAATACGTCTCTCCATTTATTTAAATATGCTTTGATTACTTTCATCAATATTTTATAGTTTTCAGCTTAGAGATCCTGTCCTTACTTTGTTAAGATAACTAATTATTTAATTTTCTTTGGAATGATTATTAATGGTACTGTGTTTTTAATTTGAGTTTCTATCTGTTCATTATTACCAAAAGAAAATGTGATTGGGGTTTTTTTTTTGTGTTGGTTTCGAAAGAAATAAAAAGTAGCTTTTAACTACTATTTTCTTCTATTTTTTTTATTTATCTTTAGGTGATATGTAGAATTGTCTTAGACACATATTGGGTAATAATTAATAAATATCCCTGCAAAGGTGGTGGTATTGTTTTTATTTTACAGAACTTGCCGTATGACAGAGGTGAGATTCAGACCCAGGCTGTGTGGAGTTGTTTTCAATGTGCTATACATGGTGTATTTTCTGAGAAGTTTAATCCCTGAAAATGACAACCTGATTAAAATTACTATATATTTCTCTAGTTAGTTTCTTCCTGTTTCTGAAGACAGTGCACAAGTATCTACTGGCATTTACTGTATTGGGGAAAATTGAGTTTCATTCCCTCTATTCAATGTTTATAAAATATCTTTATATTTGAGATTTAAATATTAACCAAATTGGAATTCATTTATTCGTTCCTTCAATTACTGTTTATGAAGGCAAGTCTTATGCTAGGTCCTAGATATACAAAGATGAATAAGATACTGTCTCTGCCTTTAATTTGCTTTTACACTCAAGTAAAGAAGACCCATAAGAGAGCAGGTGGTAAATGTTCTGATGGAAGTAAGTATAGCTGCTACCCAATAGTGTGCTGGAATTGACTCATATCAGCTTTGGGGAGCCTATTAAACTAGAGGCTCAGTACATGAAATTTGTACATGGGGGAGGGGGTAAGGGGGAGGGAGGCCCTCAGCCCAGCCTGCGCCCTCTCCAATCTGGGACCCCTTGAAGGATGTCCTACTGCCAATTTACAGGGATCGGGCCTAAACTGGCATCCCTCTTAGAATCTGGGACTGCTGGCTCCTAACCACTCACCTGCCTGCCTGCCTGCCTGATTGCCCATCACCACTCTGTCTATTGACCTGCTCAGTCCAAACTGCCCCACCCCTGCTGTCCTGATCACCTCCAGCTGACCCCACTGATGGCCTGTTCGCTCCCAACTAGCGCCCGTGCTGGTCTGCTTACCCTCAATGGCCCTGCCCCCACTAGCCTGATCATCTACAACTACCCTCCCCTCTTGGCCTCTAACCACCTCTACCTCGGCCCCACCACCGTGGCTTTGTCTAGAAGAACATCCAGAAGATCTCCCGGAAAGTCTCCCAGTCTAATTAGCATATTATCCTTTGGCCTGGTGCACAGGAGGGGGTCCACTGGTTTGCCCTGAAGGGTGTCCCAGGTCAGTGTGGGGGTTCCTTTGGGGTGTGGGGTGGCCTGGGTGAGGGGCCTGTGGTGGTTTGCAGACCGGCCATGCCCCCATGGGATGAGGGTTCCCTCTGGGGGAGCATGGTCAGCCTGGGTGAGGGGCTGATGGCTGTTTGCAGGCTGGTCAAGCCCCTCCAGTGTGAACCGTCACCCCATGGGGGAGTGGCCAGCCTGGGTGAGGGGCTGAGGGGTGTTTTCAGTTTGGCCACCCCCCCCTAGCGATCCAGGCTCCCAGTCCCTCCTTTTTTCTTTTCTTTTTTCAATGCTTCCTTAAATGGAGGCCAAGGTGGGCTGGAAGCAGGTATCTGGGATTTATCTTCAATAATTGAAACTTTGTAGCCTTGAGCTGAGGCCAGGACCAGCTAAGGTGAGTGAGAAGCTTGGCTTTCTCCATCGCCGGGACAACCCAAGCCTCCTGCTCAGTCCAGCTCCATGTCCACCGCCATCTTTGTTGGAGTAATTTGCATACTTGCTCTTAATTGGCTGGTGAGTGGCAGAGTGATGGTCAATTTGCATGTGTCTCTTTTATTCATGTAGATATTCAGAAACTCTGCAAACTTGTTTTTATCAGTGGTATTTTGAAATTGGCTATGGTTGAGTATTTACACCATAGAAATTAGCAAATACTGCAAATAGGACTTTTCCCTTTCTTTGCTTTCCCTTACGCCAGTGGTCAGCAAACTGCAGCTCGTGAGCCACAACATGTAGTTCTTTGGCCTCTTGAGTGTGGCTCTTCCACAAAATACCATGTGCGGGCGAGCATGTACAGCGCGATTGAAACTTCATGAGCAGAAGTTGGTTTTCAGCTCTCAAAAGAAATTTCAATCGTTGTACTGTTGATATTTGGCTCTATTGACTAATGAGCTTGCCGACCACTGCCTTAGTCCAACCAGTTTACTAACATACCACTGTTGGTGCAGAAGTAGAGGTTTTGAATCCATTCCTTTATATCTCATTCCTACCGGAGCCCGTTCTTCATGTCATATCATAAGTTGTTTCAGGACCAGCTGCTTCTGGTAATTTAAGCAGCAGCTTTTCACAAACCTGGTAGCTTTTCCCTTTTTAGATGATGAGGGGAAGATTAAATCTAAATCTCCTATGAATTCTGTTTTTGTTCCAGTGATTATAAAGCAGCTAACTTCATCATCAACTTATATATCATCAATGAGCCTTGGCTCTTCTCACTGGCCTGGTGCTCCAGGATTAACTCGGTGACCACAGACAACATTGAGCTCCTGAGGCAGATAAATTACCCATACTACTCCATGGTGAGCTGACTTTTCAGATTGTTCTTCCAAGGCTGGTATAGTAGGATTTCATATCCCCTACCCACCTGTACATCGCCCACTGTGTAGTTGCCTGGGGAGCTACTTAAAAGCAGAAACATCTATGATTTTGGAGCTGTAGCTTTCTTCTTTCTATCACACAGATCCTACAGTGAACTTGGAAATGTCCTATTGACCAAAGAAAATTACATGGTCAATTCCAGATTCAAGGTGAATGAGGGCAGAAACAGACTTCACCTCTTGTTGGGGAGGAATAGCAAAGTCACATTGTATACTTTTATTTTCACTAGATTTTACAGATTGAAGTAACATTTTATTATACTGCATAATTAAAACAAATAACTGTTCTAAGCCATTTGAGGCACAAGAACAACTTATTCTTGGTTTTGCTTGGTGATGCTCATGGGGTGGGCATCCTGGAGTAGGCCAGTGCATCAGTCAGTCCGGTTTCCAGAAGGTGTTAAGAGCCTTAGTTTAGTGGAAGTTAGTTAAGAGCTTCTACTACACTTGTCTAGGGCTGGTGTGAAAATTAGATGTGAAAATATCCTTAAAGTGCTTAGAATACTTCCTTAGCTCCTGTAAATGTTCACTAATTGTTAGTTGTTGTTGTTATTATCATGATCATTAGTGTTTTTTATTAATATCATTATTCAGTCAAAGGAAAGACCTTGAGATAGGTTGGGGAATGGCCTAAGAAAGAATAAAAAGTGCCAGCCCCAGCAGCATGAAGTAAAATTGGAGGGGGAACATGGAGGAAGAAAGGGAGGATCAAACCAGGGAATTAGAAAACTCACACAAGAGGCCCCAGGAGCTGGAGTTGTAGCATGAGGTGATTCAGGCAAGGAGTGTGGAGCAGGGGACATGTTAGGTAAGGACGAATTATAATTTCAACCTTACTTGAAGCATCGTGATATAGAACAAAGATCCCTAACTGCTGGCTCACAGACGAGGTGCTTCAGTATCATCTGGGAACTTGATAAAAATGCAGGAGTTCTAATTGCTGAGGTCTGTAGGGAGACCCAGGAACCGGTATACTGAAAGCTGCCCAGGTGGATTTGGATGCACAGCCAGGCTTGAGAAGCCGTGCCATGGAAACACAGAGAGCTGGGACATGGACTACGGTCCTAGGTCCAGAGCCCACTTGCCATGTGATTTCTCTGGGACTCCCTCAGGCCTCTGTGTTGCATGTCAAGGGAAATGAAGAGTGTGAAGTTTCATCCCTTGTAGAGCCACTCCCCACTTGGAAGGGTGATTGTTAGGATAGCAGCAGGTAGTGTGTGTGTGTGTGTGTGTGTGTGTGTGTGTGTGTGTGTGTGTGTGAGAGATCACCAATCAAACAGCTTCCTTCTGGTTTGTTCCCCTCCACTCCATCCCCAGCCCTGACAGCAGAGCCAGGGGCTTGGCCCATCTGACCTAAAATCCCTTCCAACAGTTCGTGGACTGTAGTTTGTTTTCTTCTTTGCAGACACCTAAGTACTATGTGTTCCTGTGGGTTCTCCTGGATTGTGTTTCTGCAGTTTTCATTATCGCCATATTTTATTTTCATTGGTAAGCATATGTTTGTGATTTTAAATGAATTTTCCCCAAAATGAAAGTACAAATGGTTCCTTTGAGAAGTTGAGCAAAAACAAACAAAACAAAACAAAAAAAACAGTTAACATTTTTCCTAAAATCCATCTCTCATGGGAAGTTCTCAGGAAGACAGAGTTAGTAATCTGAACCCTTCATTTCTTCTCATGTTGCCTGTAGCTCATCACAGTCCTTCCTCCTCTTCAGCATAAGACAATATTCTAGGGATAAGGACTGTCACTGATGCTCAGTGACCACAGATTCAGTGTGGATCACTTGGGAGAGGACGGAGCTGAAGGTTGTCACGAACAAGTGCCTCCATCTTCCCACCTTCCACAAAGCTGGACATAGCAGGACGCTGTGTTAACAGCAAGTTCACAAACCTGAAAGCCTGGGTTTTAGCCCTGGGTTTTCCCCTTAGTTGCAGGGTGACCCTGGGAAAATCATTGTCCTTTTCTAGACCATAGTCTTCATCTAAGAAAATGGCATGCCAGAATCCATGCAGGGATAGTGCTACATGGTTACAAGTTTCAAGGTGAGAGGAAATATCCAACTAGAAGAATTTTAGCTAGAGGAGACCAAGGTTTTATAGACCTAATCATGCCAACCATTTCTTATTTGTGAGTTACCCTTCAAAGGGAAAACTACAAATCCTCTGCTGAAGTGAGAATTTTACTGGATAATATTTCTTTTCTGGCTACTGCCTTGGATTATTATTCTTTTTTGACTACTGCCTTGGGTTATTGTGATTTTTGGCCACTACCTTGGAATATTGTTATTTTTGGATTATTATATTGTTATCCAAGATTCATGGATAGTCTGCTTCCTTCCAGGTGGAAAGAGGACCTAAGAGAACAAGTCTTCGAAAGAACCAGCAGTTACACAGGTAAAGTTGGGGGCCTACCTCACTGCTACCCATTACTCTAGAGTAGGGGTGTCGAACTCAATCAGAGAAGGGGCCAAAATCTAAAATCCAGCCTAAATCGCGGGCCGAATGGTTTACTGAACAGTCATAAACTGTCATTGTGATGGAAACACAGCGGAGTGCAGTGATGACAGCGCGGTGCGGGCCACATTGCAAGGCCTGGCAGGGCGGATTAGGCCTGTGGGCCTTGTGTTTGACACATGTGCTCTAGAGAATGTGGGGTCTGCTTTTCATGTCACGACAAATGCTGAGGGAGTCAGATATGGAGGGGTGGGGACCAGGGAAAATTGAGAAGTGTAGCTGGGCACAGATTCTGGAGGGCCCTTGACATCGGGCGCATTTTGGGCTTCATTCTCTTAAGCAGAGACCCCATAGGAGATGTTGAACATGGTATTTTTTATTTCTTCAAAACTTTATTCATCACACAGTTCTTGAGTTCTCACTTTGTGCCAAACACCCTGCGAAGGGCTGAAGATAATTGAAAAAAATGGAGGTTGACTCCAGAGAGCAGAGGGTTGGCCCACAGAGAACAGTGAGGAAGCAGACAAAAGTAGAGCTATTGACACCAATAGTGGGTAATGTGTGTTGGGAAGTGGGGTGGGGTAACACCACAGAGATCCTGAAATGATGGACTAGCAGGCGTCTTCAAACTACGGCTCGCAGAGGAGTCTGATCCGGCCCGCCAGGTTTTTTGGGCAGTGAGCGCAGCCAAGGTGTTACAGTAGGAATTAGTAGTTCATATAGTCCGGCCCTCCAGCTCTCTGAGGGACTGTGATCTGGCCCCCACTTTAAAAAGTTTGAGGACCCCTGGACTAGAGTCTCAGCTCAGCATATAAGCAGTCAGGAGATGGCAAATGAGTTTCAAACAAGGGAGCAATATGCTAGGTTTCTGTGTAGAAGGGATGGAATAACGGAGTAATTTATTAAATATTAAGCGGAACTCAGGTGCTGAGGAAGGGAGATAGATCCAGTAAGAGAAGGGGAAGCTAGATTTAACTTTCAAAAGGTTGTGGCGATAATCACATGGTTACTGCTTTGGGAAGCCAGTTCAGTGTCAAAAGGAAAACCAACTAGAAGGCAGAGGACTGTGCAGTACCTGATACTATTTTCTTTCACAGTTTCTGGAACCTTAAGTAAAACAGTCACAAAATCACGAATTAATTTAATATCTTGGGGATGGTGGTGAAGCTCCTGAGATGCTATACACCAGTGGTAGATGATTGAAAAAGAGTCAGGAATAGATCCACAGGGACTCTAAAAAAAACACGTTTAGAAATTTGAATAAATTAAATGGAAGCCATTTATACGTGAAACTGAAGGTTCAAACCAAGATTGTCCAAATCTCTTGAGGGGAAGAGAATCCTCAAGTAACTCTGAGTTACATGAATCTTAAGACGATCACTCTACTGGCTGTTAAGAAGTCTGAGGGCTGTATTCTAGATACCTTCTGATTGTCAGTAGTTGCATGAATAAACTAAAGCTGCCATAACAAAATATCATAGGCTGGTGGCTTAAGCAACGAAAGTTTATTTTCTCACACTTATGTAGGCTAGAACTTCAAGACCAGTGTGTCACCAGGTTTGGTTTCTTCTGAGCCCCTGGCCTTGGCTTGCAGATAGCCACCTTCTTGCTGTGTCCTCACACAGTCTTTCCTCTGTGCGCACACACACATCTTTAGTGCTTCTACTTGTCTCCAAATTCTCTCTTCTTCAGGCAGATTGGATTATTGCCCACCTTCATGGCCTTATTTTAATAAACTCTTTAAAGGCTTTATCTCCAAGTATAGTTTAGATTTTGAGGCACTGGGGTTAAGGCTTCAACATGTGAATTGGGGGGCACACAATTCAGCCCATAATTAACGGAGACAAAAAAAAATGAAAAGAAGTGAGGAAATCATGGATGGGAGAGATTTTGAAGGAAAATTTGAAGATATGTATACACTGAATGAAGTGGCTATAATGCCTTAGAAAAAGTACTCAGTTAACTTGATACCAACACCCTTCATGTGAAAATGATAAAAGGTGAATAGAAAATAAGTTGAATATTTCAGTTTAAGAGTTTTTAGTTGCCTATTGCATAAAACAATTTTGTCTGACCTAAGCAGAAAGAAAAGGTATCAAAAGGCTGTTTGAGTACTTAAAAAAACACAAAAACAAAAAAAAACACAAAAACAAAAACAAGCTAGAATGCTTAAAACCAAGTTTAGAATCCTGGAAGACTAGACAGAACCCAAAACCTCAGTCTAGATCCATTCAGGTTGAGGAGAATAGAGCCCCCAATACTAACCACATGTCACACCTTACGCACCAGCGGGATGGGCATGTGTGGCTGCTGCCACCAGGAGATATTCAGCACCTTCCTAGATTTAGGATACATTTTTCAGCACTTTAAAGAAGTCAGTCCTTTGTCTTCTGTCTTCTATAGTTTCTTTTCCTTTTTGGTTAATCCTCACCTGAGGCTATTTTCCCATTGGTTTTAGAGGGAATGGAAGACAGAGGGAGAGACAGAAACATCTCTGTGAGAGAAACACACCAGTTGGTTGCCTCTTGTCTGAGTCCCAACTAGGGCCCTGGCTGGGGAGGAGCCTGCAACCGAGGTATATGCTCTTGACTAGAATCGAACCCGAGGCCTTTCAGTTTGTAGGCCGATACTCTGTCCACTGAGCCAAACCAGATAGGGCTTACTAATATATAGATTCTTACGAAAAGTCTTCCAAGATAAAAATAGCTTTTTCATTTTCTTATCTTTGTTCCTCTACTTCTAATATGTCTTTTTTCTCTGACTGATATTTAAAATTTTTATCTTTATTGTTGCAAGTATTAGAGATGTCCCCTTCTGATTGCCTTTTATAGTATTTCTTTTGTTAGTGGTTTTCAGTAATTTAATTATGGGCCAGGAATTTAGGCATGGGTTAGCTGGGTAGTACTCTGTTTAGAGTCTCATCAGGCTAAAATCAAGGAGTTGGCCTGGCTGAGACTTAAGAGTACTCTTTCATTCTTACTGTTTTTTGGCAGAATTTAGTTCCTTAGAATTGTAGGGCTGTAACTGTCCCTGTTTTCTTGATCACTGATGACAGGGTTTTTTCCTGAGCTCCTGGAGTTCACCTTCAGGTCCTAGTCATAGGGCCCTGTCACAACATAGCAGCTTACTTTTTCAAAGTTAGCAGAATAATATATCTCATAGCAGATGGAGTCATAAAAAGAACAAAGGAAGCAAAATAACAGGGGGGAGGGAAGACAATTTGAAACACGTAGTCATAAATGCAGCCATTTTATTAATTACATTGAATATAAATGGATCAAATACTAAAAGTAGAGCTTGTCAAATAGAAAAAAAGCAAGTCCCAACCATATGTGGTCTACAAAAGAAATACTTAAGACACAAATAGATTCAAAGTAAAAGGATGGGGAAAATGATATATCATGCCTAAGCGACTGTTAGGACTAGTCGGTCAGCTGAATGACCGGTTGCTATGACATGCACTGACCACCGGGGGGGGGGGGGCAGACGTTCAATGCAGGAGTTGCCCCCTGGTGGTCAGTGTGCTCCCACAGCCATCCTCCCATGGCTGGCCAACCTCCCACAGTCCCTCCCTGATCAGGGTTCATGATCAGATAATCAGCCCTGATTGTTGGCCAGGCTGAGGGACCCCACCTGTGCAGGAATTTGTGTACCGGGCCTCTAGTAAGAAATACCAGGAAAAAAAATAGACTTCAAAACATGGAACATTACTAGAAACAAAGATTTCATAATGATGAAAAGGTCAGTATATCAGGAAGCCATTATAAATAAAATGGTGTATGCATTTAATATCAGAGCTTCAAACCACATGACACAAAAAGTGAAAGAGAAATCATAGTTGGAAATTTTATAAGTAGTCTTTCAGAACTTGAAATAAATAAGCACACACAAAAAAAATCAGAAGGGTTTTAAAAATCAACAATTTCAGTCACATTGATATAAAACAAAATTCTCAACTAGAAGAATATACCATATTTTCAAATGTACATGACATATTAACCAAAATAGACCAGATGAAAAGCCATAAAACATGTCTCAAATAAATTTCAAAAGATTTGGATCTTAAATAGTATATTCTGGTACCACAACAAAGTTAAAAACAAATATTAATAAAATATCAAGATTAGCCTCTAAATATTGGAAATTAATGTATTTTTTAACATTCCTTTGATTTAGGAGTAAATCACAAGGGAACTTATCATAGATATTACATATTTTTAAGTAATTGATAATGAATATACAATAGCAGGACATACAGGAAAATTTAAAAGTTAGAAGGAAGAAAGGTTTAATATTGATTAAGTTTCTACCTTAAGGATCTATAAAAAGAGTATATTTTTCCTAAGTAAAAGAAAGGAAATTCTAAATATAGCAGCAATCAATAAAATAGGAAAGATCCAAAGGAAATGAAAAACAAAAACAGTGCAAAGTTAGTCCTTTGAAAAGTTTAATAATATTGATAAACTCATCAAGATGTGTGTGGGGGGGAAGGGGGAGAGGGAGGGAGAGGAAGAGGTTGCCAATATAATGAATGATGAATAAAAGAGTATATCCCTAGATCCTAGCCATAAAAAGGAAAATTATGAACATTTTTATGTCATTAAATTTGACAACCAAAATGAAGGGAACAATTCCTTAAAATATAGCTTATCAGACCCGACAGAAAAAGAAATAGAAATTTGTAATAACCCACTATCAAAATCAAATTCATATATCAAAAACTTCAACAGAAAGAAAAGTTTGGTCCCAAAGAGTTTCACTGGTTATTCAGATATTTAAGAAATATACTAATAGCTGATATTTAAGGCCATAAAAAGTCCTTATATAAAACTTCACAAAGATATTACAAGAACAAAATTTACAGATCAATATCATCTACAAATTTAGACATAAAAATTCTTAACAAAATACTAGCAAAATTGAATTAATCAAGTAAACAGGATAATACATCAAGTAAGTTTTACACCAGTAATGCAGGATGGATATATCACTTAAAAACTAATCACTATAATCCCATATTAAAATAAAATGGAAAAGCATATTTGACAAAAGCATATTTGCCGAAACCGGTTTGGCTCAGTGGTAGAGCATCAGTCTGCGGACTGGAAGGTCCCAGGTTTGATTCTAGTCAGGGGCATATGTGTTGGTTGCGGGCACATCCCCATAGGGGTTGTGCAGGAGGCAGCTGGTCGGTGTTTCTCTCTCATCAACGTTTATGGCTCTCTATCTCCCTTCCTCTCTGTGAAAAATCAATAAAATATACCGTATTTTCTGGCGTATAAGACGACCCACTAATTTTACAGTTAAAACATTGGTTTAGGCCTATATTCGCTGTACAAGACTACGCCCCACTTCCGAGGTAACACCAGTTCTTTTTACTAGAACACAGTGTAGCTTCGGTATTATACAGAAATTAATTATACAGAACATGTATAATTTGCATGCATAAAAAGCCTGCTCAGATTGGCCAGAGTCAGAGAGGCGGTCTATTAAAAAAAGAACTGGTGTTGCCTCGGAAGTGGGGGGTAGTCTTATACAGCGAATATAGGCCTAAACCTATGTTTTAACTGTAAAATTAGTAGGTCGTCTTATACGCCTGAAAATACGGTATTTAAAAAAAAAAAAAAAAAAGTCAACATCCCTTTATAATATTTGGGCAAACTAGAAATAGGGATTAAACTTCCTCAATCTGATAAAATATATTTACAAAAAGCCTACTGCCGATATTTTTAATGAGGAAGCAATGAATTTTATCCCTGTAAGATCAGAAATAAGGCAAGGATGTCTGCTCTCACAACTTCTATTCAGCATTGTGCTGTAAAGCATAGCCAGTTTAATAAGATAAATGACAGCTATAAAGGAATAAATAAAACTTCTGGTTTGCAGATATAATTAATTGAACTCTAAGGAATCAAACATATTGAAAATAATAAGTGGGTTATTGAAAATAATAAATGGGTTAAGGATATAAAGTCAATATACAGAGAAATTAATTGTAAGTCTTTATATTACCAATGAGTAACTGGTACATTTTTAAAAATCTAAATACCATTTATAACAACATAAAACCTGAAAACTACGAATGTTTGCTGAGAGAAAGACCCAAATAAATAGAGCAATACACCACATTCATGAATTAGAAAACCTAATATCCAAGGTATTTGTTGTTCTAAAATTCAGTTAACCTACAAATTCTACTCAAGAACAATAAAAAATCCCCTTCCTTCTGATTGAAGATGAAGCTCATGTGTACAGCTATTTCTTCAAGATTAAAATTACATTCACGGTAAAAAAAATAACCAAGTTCTGGGCTTACCACTTTGGATTCTCACTTACTCCTAGATTTTGGCTCCACAGTTCCTCCCTTATTGTAAATTTTTATATAATTTAACATATTTTCTTGGTTCTGTATATTATCCAATTTTTAATTTGTCTTTGGTAAGCGTCAAATTCCCAGCTCCGTTGCTAGAAGAAATCTCCACCTTCTATTTTTTCTATTAGTCAGCTAAATAAAAATTATTTTTTGAGTACTTAACTATGTGACAACACTGTGTATCTAGTGGCAAGCAAGACAAAGTCTCAGACCATAAAAAGCTCCTAATAGAGGAGTGTTCATTATCTTTTTTTCTTGTGTTCATTTTTTAAAGCAATGATTGTGAAGTGCATGAACTTTAAGAGAATGTTACTTTCTGTCTTCTGAGGGCTTCCCTAGGGAGCGGGGACCTCACACAATACACTCTTCAGTTCCAGCGGCATGCTGAATTGAATGAGCATGATAAAGTTTGCACAAAGTCTGGGATAGGGAGAACTTGGGGGAAAGAACCTGAGATGGTAAGTGAGAGACTAACATTTTAAATATAACAAGGATTTCACTACATGACCTACAAGGATTGGAGAAGTGACATTTGAGAGCTCTGTGTGTTGTCTTTTCTATCCCACAGATACTGGAAGTAGGAGATTGGAAAGGAGACCAAGTGAGAAAATAGAAGATTTTGTTGTAACCATGCCGCCACCTTCCCAAGTTGGGGAAAACCCTGAGCCTCCAGCAGCCCCTCCTGAGGTTTAAGATAAAAGACATTGAACCATAGTCAGTCCAGGAAGCAACCACACCTGCTACAGATGGCCTTAGACAACTGGTGCCCACCGAGGCGGCTTTTGAATCCACCCCAGCACTACCTAGGAGGCCAACAGAGAGGCCACCCTCCAAACTGCAGTGCCAGGCAAAGGAACCAGCAGTTTCCTCCATAGATGTTCCTTACCCTGAAACACAACCCAAAGAGACTCCCACAATTCAATACTCCCAAGAATCGGTTCTGCAACATTTTCCACCACATCCAACATGTCCCCCTCTGGCTCTCTTCAAAGAATTAGCCACATCTTGCCCCCTTCTAGTCCTCCTCCTCTGTGCCTAAGGGTGGTGATGCTGGGGAGTGGTCAGGAAAGGAGTGTGGAGAGCACTGGAAGCTCCATGAAGCTGCTATAAAGGATGCAGCTCCAGGGTTTAGGCAAGAGGGAAAACAACTGTTGTGGTCTTGGAGCTGGAGCGCATTCTTCCCTGGATGCTGCGGGGTTTTTCTCATCCTAACCCATAGTAGTCCCTGCTAATGGAGCAGCTGTGGTGAACTTCAGCATGTAAATAAAGGCAACCTTTCAGGAATGCAGAAGGTAAGTGGATTATGTATTCTTTGGACCCTTCTGTGATGGCTCGGGCTGACAAAGACGGATGCGTGCAACAGGGATGCCATCCTGAGTCAGAAAATTAAAGGTGGCCTGGGTACGTTAGGGACAAAGATTTTATCCACATGCACTCTTTGTGACCTAGTGTGAAGTGGGATGATGCTTCCTAATAGTCTGCTATTGGCTGATTCCCCAATGGAAAGATGGGCGTAATTCCATCCGCATCCAATGGCCTTTGTCCTTGAAGGGAAACTACAACTTAGAACAAGCAGGGAGCGCCTTCTGTCTGGGATCCCAATGTTAGAAGCAGTGAACTGAGTTCCATCACCTATTCACGCTGCTCTGGGCCTCAGTATCCCCATCTATACGACGGCGGTGTAGGGGCAGACCGGGCAGCTCCCTTCCCCCTGGACACCAGGGCAGCCACATGGCCGTCCCAGAAGGCAGGGCTATGATTTGGGGCCTGTTTCCACAGCCACCCCTTCCTCTCCCACAGGCTGCTGCGGAGAACAGGAATAGTACTCCCTGTGGGTCAGTTGGGCACCTAGACCCTAAACAGCTGGGTGTGTGAGGGCAAGCAGGACTTGGCTCTGCTGAAGTTTCAGGGGGACCCTGAGGCAGATCACAAACACCCACTGCGAGGGGATTCTCCCCTATTACCTCTCTAGGCATTCAGCCCGGGCACAGCCCCAAATCACACCGTCCCTGCCTGAGCCCTCAGCCCCAGACTTGCCCAGGTCATGGCCAAACTTGGTTGGTCCATCCTGGTGACAAAGTAGCATTTTACAGGCACCCACTGGGTATAGGGATTTAACCCAAAAAGACATTGTTCTTGGGGTTCTCAGTGATTTCTTAATGAACCAAGGAGATATATCTGGCAGGATTCCGGGCCACTCTGGCTCCACTGGCCCTGGTGAAGGCTCAGAAGCCAGTCCCCCCTTGACCTTCTGCCCACACTTAGGTCCTCACCTCCCAGGCTGAGGCCCAGCATTTCTCTGCTCTCTGCCCTGGTCTCAGCCAGTCCCTTTAAGTCTCTTTCAAGCACATCTTGGACACAGACACCTCTATCCCCAAGCCCAGACCAGCGTGGCCCTGTACACAGAGACCAAGGAGAGAGGTACCAGCCAACAGGGCCCTGTCCCCAGACTCTTTCCCTCCTTCCCTTCCCTCAAGAGACACTCTCGGGCCAGAAGGTGGAACACGAGCTTTATGACCTGAGTTGGTTAGGAAAGCAGGGGCTCAGCACTCACACTGCAATATAGAAAAGTGGTCCGCCTCCTCCACCCCAGCTGAGGGTCCTGGACTTACGGGACTTCAACCAGTCCAGTCCTTAGGTGTCAGAATGTTCTTGATTCAGTTGGTTTGGTCTGGCTGCTCCCAGGATGAACGAGGGTGTCCTCTTGATTCCCGGTCCCAGCGGTACACAAAGCCAAAGGAGGTCACATGGCCGGGCTGGTCTGGGATGAGAGAAGCCTGCACGGAGCACAGGCTCTTAAAGGGAAGGCCACAGCCAGGACCAAATCCTACCTGCGGGCGTCAGGGGTGGTGGAAGGGTGCTCTGCACCCCAGCAAGGCCACCTCCCTGGAAGGAGGACCGGAGTCCAAGCTGGTGCTGTCACTGGTGGCTGGCCAGCCCAGCTTCCCTGCCCGATGGCAAAGGTCTTCCCCCAGCTGCCACCTGAGGCGCAGGCACAGAGCCAGTGCCACCTCCACACTGTTCACTTGCCACTCCTGGAGCCCCGCTGTTTGCTCATGGCCGTGAGCATCTGGCTGATATAGGAAGTCAGGAGGTCATCCATCTTGTAGCCCTGGAAACAGTAGCAAGGTGATATACAGTGCAAAGAACAGGGCCAGTTCCCAGACACAGCTGCCGGGGCAGTGCAGGAGCAGAACCCTGCACAAGGCAACTCTCGGTCCACTCTGGACTCGGTCTCCCCAGCTGCACAGCGGAGGGCCTGGGATTCACCCGGGCAGATGTCTCCGGTTCTAAGCTGTATGACCCCACACGAAGGCCTAGCCTGTGGGCCCTCCATCCTGGAAGCCTACCTCCGAGAATGACTCAAGACTACACGTGAAGCTGTACCTTGGACATTGAGTCCAGGAGGCCTCATTGCTAATGGTTATATTAAACTCAGAGTTGAAGACTCAATCCCCAGGTACTAAAGGCACTCAAACAATAGTCATTGCAGGAGGTGTCTGTTCCTCGGCCCCTGATTAAGCCTCTTCCCCCAGACCTAAGCTGAGCCTCAAAATGACCTGACCTTGGCCCCAACCTGACTCTTGGTCCTGGCCCCGGGCCTGGAGAGGGGCTGAAGCTGCGGTGCAGCAGGGGCGCCCACCAGGCCCGGAAATGAGCTCTCACCAGTGACGTCTCGCAGAGCAGCTTGCTCCCGCGCACCAGGTTCCCAATGGTGATGTGGAAGTAGGTGTTGCCGCTGCTCCAGTTGGAGATCTTGGTGAAGGGGTGTGTGGTCAAGATGTCCTGTGGGGAGCAGAAAGTCTGAAGCTGCACAACCTGGGCCCTCTGGCCTCACTCCCTTCAGCTCCAGCCCACAGACACCACCCAGAGGAAGGCCTCGGGCCCTGGGAAAATGAGCAGGAGGGGGAGGCTAGCTCTGCCTGGGCGCTGGAGTGGGGGCAGGTGCCTTCCCGCTCCACGCCTTGGCTGGGACCAGCAGGCGAGACACCCAAGGGAGTCGGGAGACCGCTGGGATATGGGACTGGAAGTGGAAATGTCGGAGACCTAAAGGAACTGAAACTGGTCCTGGGTGAGAGAGTCCAGGGGAAGTCTGAGGAAAGAGACAAAAAGATGATGGTGGGGGACAAGGGTGGGCTAGAAGGGGGAAAGGAGGACGTATGTAATACTTTCAACAATAAAGATTAAAAAGAAAAGAGGACAGCACAGAACCTTGGGGACCACAGTGATATGGGCTGGATAGAGAGGAAACCCACAGATGGTCTGAGAGGAAAACCAGGCAAACGGGGCACATGGACCCGAGAGGAAGACGGGGTCACTGGCACCCACAGCGCAGCTGTCCTGTGCACGTGGTAGGGTGTGCTTCCTGCTCCCCTGGGTGAGGGCTGCTGGGCCCATAAATACGAGCATCAGTTACCCCAGCACAGCCTGCCATGCTGCCCACGCAGCCAGAGAGCATGTGGGAAGGAGACGAGTTGGTAGCGTCCAATGATGCTGAAAGGCAAGCACTAAGAGGAGTCGCCTGGTTTAGTAACAGGTGTTAGTAACTCAGCGGAGTCGTTTGGATGGAGCAGATGAGGGTCAGGAAGTAGATGGCCTCTCAAGATGTGTGGCCATGAGGACAGGTGACGTGAGGGCAGAGGCTGTGGGGGCTTTTTAAGGGGTGCAGACAGCAGCCTGCCCCTGCCTGCTCTGCCCTGTCTCTGCTCACCTTGGTCCTGGGATCGATGAGGCTGACCCCATACTTGTTGATGGCAATTAAGAGGATCTCCGGGAAGTTTGGCTCCGTAGTTTGCTAATAAAGAGAGTAGGAAACAGTCAGGTGGGGACCCAGAGCAGGAAAAGCTGTGTGCACTAGGGGCAGAATAAAGACGCTCAGCTGGGATTGAGTTGACCTGTCCTGCCAACTCCGTGCCGGGGGGCAGGGTGCCTGCAGCCCTGCCATGCCACCTTGATAAGAGCGCCCCACAGATTATCCTCCGAGATTCTGGCCTGTGTACACACCTGCTCCCCCTGCCAGGCTGGGAGATGGCATAGGGCAGGACAGCAGCGATTGTGTCCTCTGTGTCCCAGAACTGAGCCCGGGGCTCAGCACTCAGCCGGCACACCTGGCTGAGACAGTCCCAGGCTCTCCTCCTTTCCAGGGCAGGCAGCAGAGGCCGCCGCTGCTCCCCACAGTCTGGGGAGGAGTCTGTCCTCTCAGCCCCGCTCCCCATCTCCCATCTCCCTCCTCCCTCCCTCTTCCCTCCTCTCTGAGAAACTGCCCACAGCATACCTTCACCTCGAAGAAGGCTGAGCCGAAGGTGGGCCACTTGAAGATGACCTTCAGGAAGGCCAGCTTGGCCTCCTCCTTGGACTTCCCCGCGTGCTTGTTGAAGTAGGCGACGATGGACTGCAGGGGGAGGCTGGTCAGTCCCCTCCCCTCCCTCCTGCCCCATCTGCTCTGCCAGCAGCTGTCATGGGCCGTGGAGGGCCAGGCATGGGACGGGGTCCTGGAGCTGTGAGGACCTGCCTCCTTGTCCCAGTGAATGGATTCCTGCCCTTCCTTCCTCCCAAGCAAGCAGGCCAAAGAGGAGCAATCAAGTAAAGCCCGGACACCACAGTCATCACAGGAACCACGGTAACAAGACAGGGACAAGTATTGCGACGTGGCCTCTGCCTGACTCCTTTGCCTGAAAGACTGGAGACTAACGCAAGTGGAGAGGGAACGGGGGAGGGGGCGTGACGCTGTCACACGTGGGGCCACAGGAGACACCACCCCGGGCGGCTGGCTGTCCCTTGGCCCCCGGGGTGCCCGGAGACCCACTGTGGGGACCTTATCCCCACTGCCTCCCCCATGCTCACCCGCTTCCAGTCGTCAGGTGAGACCTGCCGGATGAGGTCCTGGGGCACCAGCTCCCGCAGCAGCTTTGGGATACTGGGGAAGTAGGACTTGTCTTCTTCGAACTTGACCCTGTAGATGAGCGCTCCCAGCTGCAGCACCTCCTCCCGAGTGCACTTGTGGTAGCCGCGGAGATACTTGGGCAACTCCTGCCAGAGACGGAGCAAGTCACGAGGAGGCAGGGACTCCTCCCCTACCCCCCTGAGGCCGGTCCACCCGCTTCTCCCGCCTCCTCAAGGGGAGATGGCAGGACAGCAGCGATTGTGCCCGCACAGATTCAGCACGTTGCAGTTCAAAACAGAGCTGCATGTGAATAGTATGTCACTGCCCCTCCTAACAGTACAGCAAGATGAGCAGTCCCATTTCAAAAATGCAGAGCCTGAGAGGGTTCCGCAGACTGCCCCGGCCTGTCCTTCCATGGGAAAAGCCTCTCAGGCTGCCGGCCTCTTTCCACTGATCCCTCAGACTGGCTGGTTTCATCAGCGGCACCAGCCCGTTCCCCACCTTGAACTTCCAGACCCAGAACCAGAGTAACTGAGGATGACGGGTAACTCAAAAGCAAAGATGAGTCCTCTAAAGGGCTCCTAGAGCCTTCCAGCTCTCTTGTTTAAAGCACAGGGAAATGCAGGCTGGCCGAGGACACAGGGCAAATCAGAAACCCGAGTCAGTGATGATCCACCCACCCTTTCATGTACTCACTCACACACTCATCCACCCTACCACCTGCCTGCCCATCTATACCCATTCATCCATCCATCTACCCAGCCACATGGGTCTACCCACACTTCTCTTTCCCATTCATTTCCCTATTTGTTCATCCATCCACCTACCAACCCTCCTACCCACTTACCCATTCACCCATCCACTCACCGATATCCAATTCAAAAATTCATTTACCATCCATCCTTCTCCCATTCATTCACCCACCCATCAAGCCAACACCTATTTATTGAGCATCAATTATGAGCCTAGCTCTATAAGCAACAACATATATCCTCCTTACTCTCATTGAACTTATAGTCAAAGAAAGAACAGACACTATCACATCAAATCAACGTACAGTTCCAATCTTTGAAGGCAATATTCCCAATGCTATGAGAACATAGAACCAAGTGTCTTGATAAAGTCTCAGGGACAGGGAAGACTTCCCTTAAGATAAGATGATTCATGGAAAACACGGAGATTCCTCAAAAAAATTAAAAACAGAATTGCCTTATGACCAGCAATTTTACTTCAGGGTATTATATCCAAAGAAACTCAAAACACTAATTTGAAAGAATATATGCACCCCTGTGCTCACAGCAGTGTTATTTACAATAAGCAAGTTATGAAAGCAACCCACGTGCCCATCAACAGACAATGGAATAAAAAAGCTGTAGTACATATACACAATGGAATATTACTCGGTCCAAAAGAAATCACACATTTGTGATAGCATGAATGAGGGTATTATACTAAGTGAAATAAGGCAGTCAGAGAAAGGTAAATATGATTTCACTTACATATGGAATCTAAAGAACAAAATAAACCAATAGAAACAGACTCATAAATACGGAGAACAGGCTGATGATTGCAAGAGGGGTGGAGATTAGAGGACGGGGTGGAAAGGGTGAAGGGATGAGGTACAGATTGGCAGTTACAGAACAGTCATGGGAGTCTAAAGGACAGCATAGGAAATACAGTCAATCACACTGCGTTTACTAGGCATGCCGCCAGTGGGTGCTGAAAATACTGGACAGAACACTGTGTAAAGCATATGACTAACCACCACACAGAACACCTGAAGCTAATACAAAGCAATATTGAATGTAAAGTGTAATGGGGTGGGGGGGGGGAGAGACACACCCGATGATTGAATTCACAGCCAAAAGCTCAGCAGGTAAAGAGGAAAAGACCCGAGAGAAGAACATCCCAGAAGAGAGTGAGTGACAAATGTCTCTCCTGGGCTGTGCCGGCACAGCCCCGCCCAGCGAGGACAGCAGGCCTCCGCCCCACAAGCCCACAGCCCGCTCGCAGCACATGGAGGCACAGCTCACCTGGTAATAGTGGAAGATGGAGTCCGCCATGGGGTCCTTCCCCGGCACCGTGGTGGTCCACAGCTTCTTCATGAAGAACACCTGGTAGGTGAGCGAGGGCACGATCCCTGCAGCGGAGGGCAGCCCGGGGTCACCCAGAGGGTCCCCGTCCAAGGTGTGCCCAGCCCCCGCCCAGCCGGGGCCTCGGAGCTGGGCCTCCAGGCAGGACACGGAGCCAGCCCCGCCCTGCGCCGGGCCTCGGGTGCACCCAGGGCCCAGCCTCGCGTTACCATCCTTGACGGGCCGTGCTTTCTTTATCCAGTCTGTCAGGTGTCGGACAAAGTCAAAGAAGAAGTCATTCTCAGGCACGCTGATGACCTAACGGACATGGCCATGCTAGTCCGCGTTTTAGCTGGAGCAATACTGTCTTCTGGCTCTCCCACCCCAGGACCTGGGGGCCCTTCTCCACAGACCCCGTCTGGCAGCCAGAGGGGTGTCCGTGTGCCAGCCTCACCCCGCCCGACCGCGCCTGCTGTCCCCCGAACACAGCCTGCGCAGAGGGACCGCCACTCCCTCCCGCCATTCAGCAAAGATCTACCGAACGCTGCCCGGGCCCCGGGGAAAAGGCTGAGAACGAGGCCCAGGCCCTGCCTGGCACATTCCCTGGCATCCGCGTCCTGCTCCTCCCGCAGGCTCTACGCGATGCGAGGTCCAGGACCTCACTGCGTCCCCAGGCTCAGGCACAGGGACAGCCATGAAGTGAGGACACAGACATGAACGCCCAGGGAGCTGGAGCGAAGGGGAGGGAGCACCTATCGGCCCGCGCTGGTCAGGGAAGCCTTCCCCGGGGGAGGGGCCCTGACCCGTGGGCAGAGAAGGGGGAGCAACGTGGGGCAGTGGCAGAGGCCTGCGCTTTGGAGGCAGACCCCCTAGATCTAGCCCCTTCCTTCTGTGTGACCTGAGACAACCGTCCTCAGCCCAGGCTCTGTGACCTGTCAGGTGGGGCGGACTGCCCTCTCTTCAAGGGTCATTTTAAGGATCAATTGGCCTCAGCGGGCAGCTGAGGGAGCGGTTAAGTCAAATCTGGGCGTGCACGTGTGCTGGGGTGAGGGGCAGGGCCTCGGAGGAAAGATTTCGGGGCAGCTGCTGCCGGTAAGGGGCACACCGGATGCAGGAAGGAGACAGGCACAGCGGAATGCACATACAAGAGCACCTCTCTCTTCCTCTCTCTCTCTCTCACCTCCCTCCTGTCTCCTCCCCCTCCTGCCCCATGAGCTGCTATGGCTTCAGCAAATGTCCCAACCGACACACCGACACACCGACAGACCAACAGACAGACAGCAGGCAAAGACTCACCACCCACCTTGTCTGCAATTTTGACAAAGAGGCTGAAGCCCTCCGAGGACTTGAGGAGCAGCCGGGCGGCGATGTTCTGGCAGAAGTCCTTGGCCTTGGTGCTGGACTCCACCTCGAAGGCCTGGGGGAGGGGGCTCACTTGGCTCTGGCTGTGCCTCCAACTAGACCGACCCCTCCCCTCCCCCCGGGTCCTGAGCTAGGCACAGCATTTAAGAAAAGAACAGGGCGCTGAAACCAGTGTGGCTCAGTGGAGAGAGCGTTGGCCTGGGGACTGAGGGGTCCCGGGTTCGATTCCAGTCACAGGCATGTACACTGGTTGCTGGCACATCCCCAGTGGTGGGTGTGCAGGAGGCAGCTGGTCGATGTTTCTCTCTCATCGATGTTTCTAGCTTTCTATCCCTCTCCCTTCCTCTCTGTAAAAAATCAATAAAATATATTTTAAAGAACAGAAAGAAAGAAAAGAAAAGAACAAGGCAGCTAAGTCCTGTCTGTGTCTTCCCAGATCATGTCCTCCCCTGAGCAGGACTCGGCCTGGGCCTCAGAGCCCTGGGCCTGCTGAGCAGGCCTGAGTGACGGTGGAGGGAGCGCAGAGGACAGGGGCAGGGCGTGGGGTGATTGGAAGGAGAGAGACAGGAGGAGGAGGAGAGCAAATTTCAGAAAAAGGGGGAGGAGAAAAGAAGGGGAAAACAGCCCAGAATGGGCTGCGACCCAGGCCTCCCCTCCGCATCCCCACGTTTGCCCCTGCCTCCGCCCTGTGGAGTCAGCTCCGTCCGGAGGCCACAGACGCCTGGTCAGGAGCCTCTGGGACGGCAGAGCCTGGGGAGTTTGGATGGACGGAGGAGGGTGGTGGGAGGGGACAGAAAAGAGTCTTAGAGCGTTTTGTGCTTGTGTCTGGCATCCTGCTGGGCATTTCTGAGTCTCTAGTCTCCATACAAGTTTTAAAACTGCTTTTCCGGCGGGAAGTTTCAATGTTGGACTCATTGATCTGAACGAGACGCTGTGCTGAGATGGGTCAGGAGTGGACACCAGGAGGCAGCCTGGCCGAAGGGGCGGGACAGGAAGACACTGACAAAAGGGACCTTTGGACAAGGGGACCAGGGTGGTGAGGACCCCCAATCAGGCCAGGTGGGGGGAGGGAGGGAGGAATGTGGGCTCAGGGCCACAGGAGCAGAGCTGGCCCGGGGAGGGGCCCCGCACGGAGCTCAGCTCCAGGGGGAAGGCGGCTGGTTCCCAGGCAGGGCCTCCTCCGCGGGCGGGAGGGGACCTTCTCCAGGAAGCTGCTCACGGGCGGGAGGTTGGACCGGAACCCGGGGCTCCTGACCAGGCGTCTGTGGCCGCCTGGCTGAGCTCTGACTCCATGAGGGGCGGGAGGAAGGGGCAAAGGTGGGGATGGCGGAGGGGGGCCTCGGGCTGCTCCCTGTGCCCGAGGGCATTCATGAAGGTGTCTGGGGGCCGTCCACACACCCAGCAGCCAGGGCCCTCACCTCATCGGTGTCGTCGGGAAAGTAGACCTTGTGGAATATCTGGGTGGTTTTGTGCTGGATGGCCTCCACCTCCACCAGGTGTGGGGGGTACTTCCGGGACCCGTTTCTAAAGCCAGGGGGAGGGGGGGGACAGTCAGGGCCAGCTGATGCACGGAGCAAGGAACACCCGCTTCAATCCCTGCCCATCCCTCTTACCAGCTGACAGTCACCCCTCAGAGCCTCCAGTGCCCACTGTACAATGGGGTGCCAGTGCCCCCCACACGGGGAGGGGTGCAGGTGGGCTTTTAAGAGTGTGAAGTGCGGCCGAAGCCGGTTTGGCTCAGTGGATAGAGCGTCGGTCTGCGGACTGAAAGGTCCCAGGTTCAATTCCGGTCAAGGGCATGTACCTTGGTTGCGGGCACAACCCCGGTAGGGGGTGTGCAAGGGGCAGCTGGTCAATGTTTCTCTCTCATTGACGTTTCTAGCTCTCTATCCCTCTCCCTTCCTCTCTGTAAAAAATCAATAAAATATATTTAAAAAAAAATATATATATATATATATATTAAAAAAAAAAAAAAGAGTGTGAAGTGCTGCCAGGCGTCCGCTCCCGGACAGACTTGAAGGTCTGAGCCAAGCCCTTCGGAGCAACCAGACTCAAACTGGGTCTGGGACGGGGGCTGCAGCCTTTGTTGAACTGACTGCTGTGGCACCCCCGGGATGGTCACTACAGTTGGGTGGTCATTTCCTCACCCCAAGGGGGCTCGCCCTACACACCTGGTGTGGCCAGGAGCCTCCCCCCCCCCCCCCCCCCCCGCCACAGACACACCGCCTGTCCCCGACTCCGTGCCCGCTGCCCCTGCCCCTCGGGGCTGCTGTACCTCAGGGCTTTCTGCAGCCGCTGCAGGCAGTCGATGGCGAGCGGGCAGTGCTTGCGGGACTGCAGGAAGCGCTGCACGTGGGGCAGGAGGATGTTGCTGGGGGGGAAGAGGCCGGTGCACAGCCAGAGCAGCTCCCAGCCCCGCTCCTCGCTGTACCTGCAGGGGGAGGGGGTGTCCGGGGTCTGAGCACCGCCCGGGCCTCCACGCCCCTCTGCTCCTCCCCACAGCAGCACGCGCCCGGCCTGACCCCCACCCCTGTCTGAGGACCGACGGACCCACCGCCCCGACAGCTAGATCCAATTAGTGCCACTCGAAGTGGAGACAGCTGGGCCCCGAGGGGCCACAGGTACAGCCACGGGGAGCTAAGGGGCTCAGGCCAGAATGAGAATCAGCTGTGTCACCAAGCACTTTGGTTCAACTGAGATTTTTTTTTTTTTTTTTTTTAGCAAGACTTTCTTATGAAGGAAAAAGTGTGTGATTTGTTCTGGCCGAAGCTCTGTAACTCCCCTGCTCTTTGAATCGCACTAAGTTAGAACAGCCGCCTGGCTCCCTCAGATACGGTTCTGAGCTCCTGTGTCTGTCAGGGGGGGAATCCTGGAGGGCATGTAGGGGGAGGTGGCATTTGATCTCGGCTTTCCGGGATGAGAAGAATTCTGATGGCAAAGGAGAGGGAAAGCTTTCCAGGCTGTGATTACGGCACGTTACAGGGGTTTGTCGGTGGGAAAAGTTCTGATGTGTGGCTCTTGAGGAAGAGATGCAGAGAGGGACACTGCTGGGGAGGGAGTTGGGGGGTCTGGGCATAAGGGGAGATGGCAGGGCCTCTCTCAGGCTCTGAGACTGACGTGTCCCTTTCCTGCAGGTGTATGGCCCAGCAGGGAGAAGACGGCGGTACCCTCCGGGCCAACACCGTTAGCCCATGAGAGCTTTAAGCCAGAGCTTCCAACTGGCACCCAGCTCAGCCGGAGCCAGAGATGAGGCCTTTGCTCAGGAGCGGGACCCGCAGCTGCCAGCAGAGTCTGGGCTGGGCAGGAGGGTCCCGAGGAGGCTGGAGCAGGGAGTGGCAGGAACGAGGAGGAGCTGGGCCTGTCAGACTTGGAGGACAGACTCAGAGGGCACAGCCGCCACCTCCTGGCTCTGGACCCCCCTGAGGCAGAGCGAGGACGTGAGTCTGAGGGGGCTCCCCGCTCTGAGTGAGGGAGGGAGGGAGCAGGGCGGGGCTCCCCTTCACGATGGGGGCGGGACCTTTAGGATAAGGTGACCAGACATCCCGCTTTTGGCGGGACAGTCCTGATTTTCAACAATTTTCCCCCCATCCCGCGGCATTTTAAAAAAGTCCAGATTCTTTCACAAAAAAAAAAAAAAAATCGGGACTTTTTTTTTAAAAACACCTCAGGACGTGGGACAAATTGTTAAAAATCGGGACTGTCCCGCCAAAAGGTCACCTTACTTTAGGACTCCCTGCAGCCGGGAGCGCTAGGGAGGGGCCGTCCCCTCGCCCGCCCGCGCCCCTGGCTCACCTGATGTGGTTGTCCGTCAGCTGCTTCAGGATCTGCACGTACACCTCGTCCTTGAGGGGCTCGGCCTTCAGGGCGCCCTCGAAGATCTGGTCGGTGAGCTCGTTGACCGAGCGCATCCTCTTGGACGGGTAGTCGCCCATGTACTTGAGCATGGCTGGGGGGCCGTCAAGGAAGGGCTGGTGGCCGAGGGGGTGGCGCTGGGGCAGCAGGCAGGGGGCCCGGGGCCTCGGGCTACTGTTTTGCCACCCCGCGGTCCTTGTCCACCGCCCACTCTCCCCCCTCGACTCCTGCGGCCGCCTCCTCAGCCCCCAACCCTGAATCCAAAGTGCTCGCTGCACCAGGACGCACTGTCCAACTCAGTCGCCTGTGCCAGCCCTGCCCAGGGGCCCCCAGGGCCTCGGGACTCAGTCCACGCTCCTTCACAGGACGAGACCCCTTCATGAGCCAGCCCACGCCTTTCAGTTCCCTTCTTGGACCTGCCCTCCAGCTGCGAATTCTCGGGTGCCCTGGCGTCACCCCGCTCTGTGCCGCCTCAGGGCCTTGTGCAGGCTGCTCCGTGTGCCTGGAGCACTCCCCACCTGTCTCCCCTTTGACTGGCTAAGTGAGTCCTACTCAGTTTTCAGCCAAGAAGCCACCTCCTCCAGGAAGCCCTCCCTGCCCTCCTCCACGGCTGGGTCAGGCCACTGTGCTGCCAACCCCATCCCGGCACTGATCCCGGTCAGCACGGCTCCCCTGAGGCCCGGGCCTGGGTCTGGTCACCACGTCTCCATGCCTGGCCCAGCACATGGCAAGAGCACTGTCAGCTGAAGGACAGGGCAGACGCGACGATGCTGAGGTGGCGCCTTGCGTGCTGTCAGGTGCCGGCACGTGGATGGAGGTGCTCCTCAGCATCCCTGCAATCTGCCCAGGATGAGGTGACCGGACGCCCCGCTTTTGGAGGGACAGTCCCGATTTTTAACCATTTGTCCCGCGGCATTTAAAAAAAAAAAAAAAAATCGGGACTTTTTAAAACGCCGCGGGACGCGGGACAAATGGTTAAAAATCGGGACTGTCCCTCCAAAAGCGGGACGTCTGGTCACCTTAGCCCAGGACCCAACCGAACCCCAGAGGGAGGCAGGTGTCTGACGGGAACCCTGAGGCGGAGGCCCGGCCGCGCCGCCCTCGTCCCCGCTGCCAAGCGGATACCGATGAAGGCCATGCAGGCCTCCTGCGAGAGCTCCTCGCTGCCCAGGATCTTCTTGAGCAGCGCCTGCTTCAGCGGCTCCCGCGTGTGGCTCCACAGCCGGTCCTTCCCCCGGGCCTTGGACACCATCACGCGGCTCAGCGTGTGCTTGGGCGGGGGCCTGCGGGCGCAGGGATGGTGGGCACTGAGGGCCGCCCAACTGTGAGACCCGCCCCGGCCACCCCGTTGCTGGAGGCCAGGGGTCAGGAACAGGCCCCGGTGTTCCCTGCTGCCCTGGGACCGGGGGCAGGTGCCCGCCCGGGGCCCCACCTTCTCTGCTGGAGACCGAAGGCTCCCGGGCCCCACCTTCTCTGCTGGAGACCGAAGGCTCTGGCCCCTGTGCCCCGACAGCCCTGCCGCCCTCCCACCTCCTCCCTCCTGCCCCTCTCCGCTCCGCCCTGGCCTGGGCTCTCCCCGAGCCACCGCCTCCGGACGCCTGGCCTCTGCCCCAGCAGCCCCTCCAGGGCTGGGCACAGAGTCCCAGCGCCTGGTGTGCGCCCATCTCCCGCCAGGACTGCGAGTCGTGAGTGCCCAGGGCCCCGCCTGGGGTGGGCACAGTAGCCATCTCTTAGGTGAAAGAAGGATAAGGGGACACATACTGGAAGGATCATTCGAAGGACAAAAAAGGGCCCTGGCTCCCTCTGACCCAGGCCCTGCTCAGGGCGGGGGCTGCTTTGTGATGCCCCCGCCAGAGCCACAGAAGCCCTCTCCCCTCTCCCCTACCCTGCCCCTGCCCCTCTCTCCTCTCCTCTCTCCCCTACCCTGCCCCTGCCCCTGCCCCAGGTCCTCTCCCCTCTCCCCTCTCCCCTGCCTCTGCCCACGCCCCTCTCTCCTCTCCCCTCTCCCTCTCCCCTGTCCTCTTCCCCCCTCTCCCCTGTCCCCTCTCCCCTCTCCCCTCTCCCCTGCCCCTGCCCTGGGCTCTCTCCCCTTTCCCCTGCCCCTCTCCCCTCTCCCCTGTCCCCCTCTCCCTCTCCCCTCTCCCCTCTCCCCTCCCCCTGCCCCCTCTCCCCTCTCCCGGCCCGGCACCTGAAGTAGTCGTAGGAGAACTCCTCCAGTGTGTAGGGCTTGGCGCGGACCTCAGGCTCCGGCGCTCGCAGCTGCAGGAGCCGGATCACGTCCTGCCTCTGGTCGGGGGTCATGGTGACCAGCGCCTAGAGACCGAGAGGCGGGGCTGCGGTCAGCTCCCCACCTGGGCTCCTGGGACACACGGCGAAGCCCAGAGCCTTCTCCCGGGGCAGGAGACTGCCGCTCGGGGCCCGAGCCGCTCTGAGCCTGGAGCCCCTTTGCTCCCTGCGTCTCTGAAGCCGCTGCCGCCCCCATGCTGCTGGGCTGGACCCTTCCCTCAGCACCGGGTCTGAGCCAGGGCAGTCAGTCAGAACGGCTGGACAGGGTCCTGCCCCGGGCCCCTCCCCTGCCCCTGCCCCTCTCCCCTGCCCCTGCCCCTGCCCCTCTCCCCTGCCCCTGCCCCTCTCCCCTGCCCCTGCCCCTGCCCCTGCCCTCTCCCCTGCCCCTGCCCCTCTCCCCTGCCCCTGCCCCTGCTCTTCTCCCTGTCCCTGCCTCCTCTCCCTGGCCTTGCCCTCTTCCCTGCCCCTGCCCCTCTCCCCTGCCCCTGCCCCTCTCCCCTGCCCCTCTCCCCTGCCCCTGCCCCTCTCCCCTGCCCCTGCCCCTCTCCCCTGCCCCTGCCCCTGCCCCTCTCCCCTGCCCCTGCCCCTGCTCTTCTCCCCTGCCCCTGCCCCTCTCCCCTGCCCTTGCCCCTCTTCCCTGCCCCTGCCCCTCTCCCCTGCCCCTGCCCCTCTCCCTGCCCCTCTCCCCTGCCCCTGCCCCTGCCCCCGCCCCTGCCCAGGGAGCTGCCTGGAGAGGCTGAGCTCTGAGTTCTCAGTGCTGAGCTCATGGGGAGTCCAAGAACCAGGGCCTCCTCCCAGCTCTGCCCTCACTGCCCCCGCTCAGAGCCAGGCTTCGTGCTGCCCCTCCCTTCTCCCCTCCTACCGCCCCCGCCCTGCCCCGGGCACTTCCTCACTGAGGCCCTTCCAGGCCCTTCTCGGGGGGACAGCCGCCCGGCTCTCATCTGTGTCCCGGGACCCCGGCCGTCCTCACGGCAGCGCAGGCCGCGTGTCTAACCGCCCCGGCTGGGAGGGCCAGGAGGGTGGGGCGCCCACGTACCACGATCTCCCGCAGCGGCATGGTGACCGTGGGCATGACGTACACGCAGTCCGTGGGGAAGTCCCCGCGCTGCTTGGTCCGCTCGTTGATGCCGTTGGCCCAGCCCGAGGTCATGACCTGCTCCCCCGTGTCCTGGTCCAGGATGATGAGGTCGCCCTTGGCGAAGCTGAGGAAGCCCGACTCCTCGCCCGCTGGGGGCCGCGGGGAGGGCCACGGGCGGGGGAGACGCGGGTTAAACATCTCCGTGTGGGCCGATGCCCGTAAGCGGCTCCTCCCGCCGACGAACTGAGGCCCCATCACGTCTGCCCACTGGCCGCCCCGCTCCACGCAGACATGGCGTCCGAGCGGGCCAGCCTCCTGCCCGAAGCCCCTGTGGCTCCCCGCGGCCTCAGGGGAAAGCCCGCACTCCCTGACATGCTCTGGGCCTGGCAGGGCCGCCTTCCCGGCACCTTCCACCCCCATGCCCCTTGCTCTCCTCCCTCGTTCCGGCCAAGCCCAGCTCCGCGGTTCCCAGACACGTGTTTCTCCAGCCCCGGGGCTGGGCCTGTGACCTGCTCTCGACCTCACACACTCACACCCGCTCTCCTCCCGCACCCGACGCTGCTGGGCCGCTCTCCTGGGCTCCCTCAGCCTCGGGCTCCCTGGTCACTGCACAGGCCCAGGCCCAGGCCCAGGCGCTGCACAGTCTGCCCCTGCCCCTCTGTCTTTCCACTGCTCTGCCCAGCGCCTGGGGCTCCGGGGGTGCTCAGTGAGGGGCTCAGGAACTCTGAGGGGAACCCCTGACCCCCCTGGAGGAGGTGGCGGGTAAGTACTCAGACCAGGAAAGGGGGGGGGGGAGAGGAAGAGTCCCCACAGACGGAAGGCACCGAGTCCGGCTGTTTGGTTCCGTCGATGGGGAGGATGGGTAGCAGCCAGGCCGAGGCCGAGGCCGCGGAGGGTGACCTGCCCGACGCCCCCCGTGCCTGGCGGCCCAGGCCAGGAGCCACTCACCGGGGTTGGGGTTGTCCTGCAGGGCCACCACGTACTTGGACCTCTTCCGGAGCCCCTCCAGGAAGGTGACCACCAGGTCACGGATGTCCTCGGCGTTGCTGGAGGTGAAGGTGTACTCGTCCCCCTTGATGGTGGCCAGCGTGAAGCTGGGGGCTGTCAGCTTGGCTCCCCTGCAGGACCAACACGGGGAACAGGAGCCCGCCGCGGTCAGGCCGGCCCAGCCCGGGTGACACGAAGCGCAGCCCAGCTCAGAGCAGCCCAGCGAGAGCAGGACGCGGCACTCCCTGGGGGACCAAGGCCGGCGCGGTCAGACGGGCCCGGCCCCGGGGGAGGCCGGCCCCCCGGGGTGAGACCCAGCTCAGCCTGCACCGGCCCGGCCCCCCGCCCTCTTGCTGTCTCGTTCCTACTCGCCCTTTCGTCTCAGCCCAGATACCCCTCATCCAGGAAGCCTTCCTAACCCGCCCCTCCTCCCCCCACACAGCCCCATGACACTGGTCCTGCTCTAACGGGGCCTGTTCAATATCCATCTCCCCTCTCGACTGGAGCTTCAAGGGAAGGACTTTCCAGTCACCGCGGCATCCTGTGTGCTGGGCACGTGGCTGCTCAGAGCTGGCCACACCCAGCCCTGCCCACAGCGACACGGCCTGAAGGTGTTAGGGCTCTGGCAGCCACGGGGAGTCCCATCCAGGCCCGTCTGACTCAGGCCAGGATCTTTCTACACACACTCCACGGCCCCCGACTGTCCGAACCACTCCCGCCCACCTCAGGGCAGCCACGAAAGGGCCGTCACCACCTCCCTCCCATGCCCGTCAGGAGGGCCGGGCCTGCGGCGTCCGCACAGCAACACACCAACTACTCGTTACACGTTCCATGTGACCAGGGAGGCCCTGCAGGCTTGCGCCTCAGAGGGTCCTCTGTGAGGGGGGACGCCCCTCAAGGCCAGGGCCCGCAGGAGAGCGCCGGGAGGCCTCTCCTCCCCATCTGTGTGTGTGTGTGTGTGTGTGTGTGTGTGTGTCCCTCAGCCCCCCCTCCGTTCACACAGAGCTGACTCAGGACCCTGCTAGGTCTGCGCAGCTTCGACACCCCCCTGCTCTGCGGACAGTGGGGCGCGGGTGGGACTGACCTGCTGCTGGACACGGCCATGATCTCGGGGAAGGACAGCTCCAGCAGCACCTGCTCCTGCTCATCCACGAAGTAGACGCCCGTCCAGTTGACGGCCACAATGACGTCGTTTTTGGGGAGGCTGGGGCCTGGGGCAGAGACCGAGGCTCTGAGCGGGAGGCCCCCTCTCCTGGGCCCGGCCCTGCCCAGTCCTCACAGCCACCAGGGCAGGGAGCAGCCCGATGTCCGCTTCACAGACACGGAAACAGCCAGAGCCCGTGTGTGGCGGGGGACGGGCTGGACCAGGACCCGGGCGGGCCCGTGCCTCGGTGAGGCGGGGTGCGGGGAGGGCTGCCTTTAGCAGGATAACCGGTGATTCTGCGGAGCCCGGGGTCTGGCCCGGAGCAGGTGCCCCCAAATGGCAGCCGGAGGGAGGCTGAGCTGGCAGCCGAGGTGCTGAGGGCCACAGCCACTCTCAGTTCCATGGGGTCAGCCAGCCCTTGCCCGGGCCACCCTCTCCTGCAGGTGCTCTGATGATCTCCATACCCACTCCGCTGTTCACCCCACTGTGCGCTGAGCACCTACTGTGTGCCACAGAGCCCCGCGGCACTGTGGGAGGTGGGACCCGCGCAGCGCACTGGCCTGCAGAGACCGGCAGCCGCGGGCAGGAGCCCGGCTGACGGGGCACCGTCCCAGGCCTCTCCCCGGCATGGCCGCAGTGAGGGTAGGAGGGGGTGGAGGCGGGAGGGCTGTGGCTACCTGAGAACTTGTAGGCTTCGTAGAACCTGGAGAAGAGCAGGGGCCACTTGAAGCGGGCGTAATTGACCACGTCCTCCTTGACCTTCTGGGAATCCGTTCGCCTCTGGGCATAGATGCCCTGGAGGGGGACAGACAAGGACAGGGACAGAGAGCCGTCACCGGTGCTCCGGCTGGAACTCGGATGTCCCGTCCCCAGGCCAGGAGCGGCCCAGCGCTGCGGCGCCCCCTGTGCTTCGTGCCTCGTCCATCCCATCAGCCCCAGACACCCCATCCCTGCCCTCCTCTCACTCCATCCACCGCAGCACCTGCCAGGGAGCTCCCAGTGCACCCGAGTGACAGAAAAGCCCACAACGGCCGAAACCGGTGTGGCTCAGTGGATAGAGCGTCAGCCTGCAGACTGAAAGGTCCCGGGTTCGATTCCTGTCAAGGGCATGTACCTTGGTTGCAGGCACATCCCCAGTAGGGGGTGTGCAAGAGGCAGCTGATCAATATTTTTCTCTCATCGATGTTTCTAACTCTCTATCCCTCTCTCTTCCTCTCTGTAAATCAATTATATATATATAGAAAGCCCACAATGGCAGCCCGGGCAGGGGCAGGGGATGGACGGGCTCCAGCGGCTGACGGGGTGAGGGGGATGGAGAGGAGGTGGCCAGGGACAGAGACGGAGGGACGGAGGGAGAGCACGTGTCTTTTCTGGAGGGGAGGGAGGGCCTCGGGGCTGAGCCCCGCCTAGATGCAGAGGGGGTGCGGGGGCCTCAGGGGGAGGCGGGGTGGGAAGCGGTGAGGGGCTGAGAGACCGCTGGTCTGTGAAGCCCTCTGGCAACTGTGTGCACGGGTAATTCTGCTCGTGCACAACCAGAGCGGGGAGGGGGAGAGGCCTGGGTCCCTCCGGCAGCCGGGGTTTCCCACCCGCTCTCCTGGGGCAGCCCCTTCGCCCGGAAGGGAGCTATCAGGGCAGGCTATGGGCCTGGGGCCCAGGCGAGGGGCCCAGGGGGCGGGTCCCCAACGCTCCCCAGGCAGGAGGGGGGGCAGCGCTCTTGCAGGCAGAACGGAGGGTCCCTTCCTGGACGTTCCCCCCAAATGCAGCAGCGCCTCCGAGCTGTGGCTCTCCTGAGTGCCGGAGCAAGGCCAGGACTGCCCCCCACCCCACCCACCACCCACCTCCCCACCGCCTGCACCATGGCTCCCTCAGGGGGCCACAGAGCTGGAGGCGAGCCGTCCGCTATCCCTGGGACCCAGGCCGGAGCGATGACCGAGAGGAGGGAACCGATGAGCCGGTGGAGGAAAGAGGCTGCCGGGAAGCAGGAGGCCGCGCAGCCGCGGGCGGACGTGCGGGGGGGGGGGGGGGGGGGGGGGAGCTGTGACGCCTCTCATGCCCCAGGGGCTGCTTCCTGGCTTCGGTCACGGTCCCCCCCCCCCCCCCCCAAGGAGCCTCCCGCCTCCTACCTTCTTGTGAGCAGCGATGGCCAGCTGCGCCCACTTCTCCAGCGTCTTGAGGGGCGTGATCTCGCGGTCCGGGATGTAGGTGGGCACGAGGTTCAGGAGGCGCTCCAGGATCATCTCGGAGCCGTAGTCCACGAAGTACTGCTGGGAGGCCAGCTCGGCCAGGTCGTCCTCCTGAGTTGGGGGTTGCGGGGAGGGAGGGGGGGACCTCATTCACACACCCTCCGGGAAGCCCTCGCCGATGACCGAAGCCCAGGCCCCCGCCGCCCGGACCCTCAGCCCCTGGCCTCTGCACCCTGAGCTCTCACCGATTCGCCCGGAGCTCTTGTCTGGCTGCTGGAGCCACGAGCTTCTTAAGGGCAGGGCCACACGCCTGCCTTCTCCTGGGTCCTCTCAGCACCAGAGGTACCAAGCTGAGCCAGAGAGACCAGCCAGCCCATTGCAGTGGGTCAGCCACTACATCCTCAACCCAGTAAGACAGCAACCGGGGCCGGCAGACAACAGAGCAGGCAGGGACTGGCCTGGAGGGCGGGGGACCCCACACCGCTGGAGACCAAGGGAGTGAAGGGCGTGCATCGCCCTTACCACCTCCATCACCATCCCCACGCCCCCGGGACAGCCAGAGCACTGAACACCCCATGGCTACAGTGTGGAGGCGGCAGAGAGCCAGCCGGGCACTGGGCAGCTTTCCCTTCTCTGCCCGCGGTTGGTGCTCGGCAGCCCCCGTGATGCCTGCCTGGGGTTTCCCAGGCTCTGGCAGCAGGGACAGTAAAGAAAGGCTCTTGGATGCCTCAGAGGCAGTGGGTATTTTCCGAAGTATTTCAGGATTTTAGCAATGGACCTGGCTGTACTGATACTTTCTGCCTGAATCTCAACTCACCACAATCATCACCAACACCACCACCATCATCATCATCATCACTACCCCCACACCTACACCTACACCATCACTGCTTCTTCCCTCGCCGCCACCACCAACCATCCCCTTCACTCCCATCATCTCCATCCTCCTTCCTCCGTCACAGTCACCAACGGAATCACAGGTGCCCCGGGAGCCATCACCACCATCATTACCATCACCACCATCATCGTCACTACCCCCACACCTACACCTACACCATCACTGCTTCTTCCCTCGCCGCCACCACCAACCATCCCCTTCACTCCCATCATCTCCATCCTCCTTCCTCCGTCACAGTCACCAACGGAATCACAGGTGCCCCGGGAGCCATCACCACCATCATTACCATCACCACCATCATCGTCACTACCCCCACACCTACACCTACACCATCACTGCTTCTTCCCTCGCCGCCACCATCAACCATCCCCTTCACTCCCATCATCTCCATCCTCCTTCCTTCATCACAGTCACCAATGGAATCACAGGTGCCACGAGAGACATCACCACCATCATCACCATCACCACCATCATCAAACACAAAACAGCTCCGCCCCTCCTGTCCGCAGGAGGAGGCGGGCGTTTACACGTGTGTGTGCTCACACTGTTCTCATGAGCGGATCTCTCGATCCTCTAGAGCAGAGTTTCCTAGACCCGTGGTCGGCGAACCGCGGCTCGAGAGCCACATGCGGCTCTTTGGCCCCTTGAGTGTGGCTCTTCCACAAAAATACCACGGCCTGGGCGAGTCTATGTTGAAGAAGTGGCGTTAGAAGAAGTTTAAGTTTTAAACATTTGGCTCTCAGAAAAAATTCCAATCGTTGTACTGTTGATATTTGGCTCTGCTGACTGATGAGTTTGCTGACCATTGGCTTCCAGTGTTTCCCAAAGTGTGGTACGCGTACCCCCAGGGGTACGGGAAGAATTTGGTGGGGGTACGCGTTGCACCGGAGTTTGGTGGGGATATGCACTGCACCGTGCTTAGCTGCGCCTAATTCTACGTTCTCATGAGTACGAGGGGTACTCAGCGTTACGAAAATTATAGAAGGGGTACACATATGTCAAAAGTTTGGGAAACACTGGACAAACTCAGTACAGCAAGTGTGAGGCAGTCACCACAGCGTGCAGGACCCTCCCACAGGCAGGGCCAGAGCAGGCAGCGCTAATCCTAATCCTAATCCTAATCCTAATCCTAATCCTAATCCTAATCCCGGAGGAGCGAGGAGAACACCGCCCTCCCTCCGTCAGGCTAACCTCCACGTTCCCTAGAGACGGGTCCCGACAGTAACACCGGCCCGAATTCGAATTCGGAAAACGGGCGGCTGCGAGCCTAGCAAGCTCAGCCTGGACACTGGGCAGCGTCGTTCGCACTCACCTTCTCACACCTGTACTCCCCAAACTTGACCCCGCGCACCACCTGCTGGTAGATGAGGTTGGTGGCCACGTTGTCTTCCGAGGGGTTGTGCCAGGGCGTGAAGACCTCTTTGCGGAAGAAGAGCCGCCACGGGGCGTTGCGCTCCTGGGCTCCCTGCTCCTTGGCGTACTGCTCGCACTGGGAGATGGCGTCCATGACGTGGTCGCTGCCGCTGCCCAGGGAGGACACCTGCGGGCCGAGGGCTGAGGTCACCGGGGGGGGGGGGGGGGGGGGGCGGGGGGAGCAAGCGGGAAGGACTACAAAGAACCACCAACTGTGCCAGCTGCTCTTGGGGGCCAAACCCAGGCTCAGAGAGAGGCAGGGAGGTGCCCAGGCCACCCTGGAGGCAGGCCAGCACAGGACCCCTGCGCCCCAGGCATTGGCTCTGAGCTGGCACAGAGTTCCCGTTTCCTAGCGTAAGCCTTTTGTGACACTCGGATGCACAAATGGCCCCTGAAAACACAAGAGTATCCGTCTGGAGGGCAGAAAAATCCAGATACATTGTGTCGGACACGTGGCTCCGTCCCGGACCTGCAGGGGTGCACCCTGCTGTGGGTGATGCTGCTGGGTGTGCAGGTACAATCAGCGCCTCCCTCCCCCAGGCCCAGCGCCACAGAGAAGGCTCCTGGCCTAGATGTGACGGGTGGTCACTGAGCGTGAAAGGAAATGGCCACAGCAGCCTGATGAGGAGTTATATCCGCATTTGTAGGCGAGAAAATGAATCTCGGAGAGCCACGTGGCTGCAGGCCCCTGCAGCCTGTCTCCGGCACCAGAGGGGGCCTTGCTACCTATGACTGAAGGGAGTTCTGGGTTTCAGCACTGTTTTCTTTAGGGGCTTAAGAGGCTCCCCAATTCTAAAGAATTGGCCAGAGCTAGCCACCAGCTAACAGAGAAAACCAAGGCCCTGGAAGTAAGTAACTGTGCAAGGTGGCCAGTAGGTGGCAGCACTGAGCCGGGACCCTGTGGGCAGCCAGGGCGCTGCCACTGCAGGGCGGTACCTTGTCAAACAGGGCAATGTAGAGGGAGAACCCGAAGCGGTCCTTGAGGGAGATCTTGTCGGCCAGCGCGTTGCAGAGCTCCTTGGCCGTGGTGGCCGAGTCCGTCAGCAGGGTCTTGGTGGTCCCATCCATGAATGTCACCGGCAGCATAATGGGCTTCTTGGACTTGGTGGCCTGAAAGTGACCAGAGAGGGTTTGTGGGAATCCTTCCACTCCAGACCACCTGACCCCTCTGGGCTGCTGGCTCCCTGCTGCCCAGGAGGTTGGAGTTTCCCCCACAGCCCCGGACCCCAGCATCTCACCGAGACTGTCTGTCCCGGTCACAGGTGCCCAGGGAGCCCTGCTTGCCCCCCAACGTGATGGGCACATTAGGGTCCCTGAGCCCGGCCCCTGGGGCTGGGAGGATAGGCACTGCCGCACACCAGGGGCCTCTGCCCTCCTGTCCCAAACCCTCACGGGGCCCCGGGAGATGAGAATCGTCACGGCCGACAAATCCCTGAGGCACAGTGGGGAGCCCTGCCGAAGCACTCTGACCATAAAGCCGATGGATGGGAGTCCGTCCTCCGCCAGGGGTTGTGTTCCAATGGCCTGGGATTCCAGCACTTAACGGCGAAGAACCCAGAATCCCAAAGCAGGAGCTTTTCTGGGCACCAGACACACACACACACACACACTGAAGATACATACACACACACCAGACACACACACACACACACACACACACACCGGAGACAGACACACACACACACTGGAGACACAGACACACACACACACCGGAGACAGACACACACACACACACACACACACACACACTGAAGATACATACACACACACCAGAGACAGACACACACACACACACACACACACACACACCAGAGACAGGCAGACACACACACACTGGAGACAGACAGACACACACACGCACCGGAGACAGACACACACAGACACACACACACACCGGAGACAGACACACACACACACACACACACCAGAGACACATACATACACACACACACACACACACACCAGAGACACATACATACACACACACACACACACACACCGGAGACAGACAGACACACACATACACACACTGAAGATAGATACACACACACCAGAGACACACACACACACTGGAGACATATACACACACACACACACACACACACATTGGGGACACATACACATATACACACAGAGAGACACACACACACACCAGAGACACATACACACACACACACACACACACACCAGAGACACATGCACACATACATACACACACCGGAGACAGACATACACACACACTCCGGAGACACACACACACACCAGAGACACATACACACATACACACACACCCCGGAGACACACACACACACACACACACACACACACCAGAGACACATACACACATACACACACACACACACACACACACACACACACGCACGCCTGGTGGGCGGGCGCACCTGCAGCTCCAGCCAGCTGGGCGGCTGTGTCCGCGTGCCGTTGACGAAGGTCCTCCGGAGCCGCTCCTCGCAGTACGGGGCGTAGCCGGGCGGCCCCCCGTGGATGAAGTTCCGCAGGAACTGCAGGCGGAGGACCAGCTGAGCGGCCGCTCTGGCTCCCCGGGGCCATCAGAGCAGCCTGGCTGGGTCCCCTGCCTCCGATCCTCCACCGCACTCAGGACCTGCTTTCCCCTGCCCTCCTGCGCCTTCCCTGGCTCCTGCTGCCCTCAGAACCGTCCAGCCTAACTCTCAGCCGTGCCTCTTGCCTCACCCCACACACGGTGCCCCTCTCCACCGAGCTTATCTGCTCCTCCTCCTGCAGGCCCCCGCCCTGGCGAGTGCTTCCCCATTCGCAGCACTGGCCGCCGGGCTGTCCCCTGCCCTGTCTGTGTCCCCAGCACCCAGGGCCTGGCTCCCAGGAGCCGGCAAGAAAGAGGCCTGAGAGGAACGAAAGCGCCTGCTCGAACACAGTACGGAGAGGGGCCCGGAGGTGCTGTCACTCAGCCTCCTCACACACAAAACTGGTCGAGGGGAGGATGGCGGGAAGTTCTGGGTGCCTGGGAGGAGGGGACGGGAAGAGGGGCGGGGGGGGGGGGGGGAGGGCAGCTGTGAGGCCAGGTGAGAGGAGGCGGGCGGGGCCTCACCCCCTAGCCTAGGGGTGTCAAACTCAATCAGAGAAGGGGCCAAAATCTAAAATCCAGCCTAAATCGCGGGCCGAATGGTTTACTGAACAGTCATAAACTGTCATTGTGATGGAAATGCAGCGGAGTGCAGTGATGACAGCGCGGTGCGGGCCACATTGCAAGGCCTGGCGGGACGGATTTGGCCCGCGGGCCTTGTGTTTGACACCTGTGCCCTAGCCCCTCGCGCTCCTTCCCCGGCAGGCTCGGCGCCCGCCCTACCTTCACGAACTTCTCCGAGGGGGCGAAGCAGCCCACACAGAGCGACATGAGGATCCAGCCGCGGGCGTAGCTGCTCTTGGAGGGGTTGTGGGTGAGCTGCTTGCTGATCTGGCAGTAGATCTCATCCCTGGCGGGCGGGAGGCAGGAAGGGAGACGCTCAGAGGGAATGGCCCACCCACTGCAGGTGAGACCCCCCGGCCTTCCTCTGCTCCTCAACCAAGACCGTCCAGGCAGAGTGGGGCCTGGTGAGGCGGCCGGGCTGGGCCCTGGGGAAGAAGCTCTGCTTTGGAGACCGGCTCATAGGCACGGAGACTTTCTAACTCCAGTCAGACCCGCGGGCAGGGCCCCGTGATCCTGAGGGGGGCTCACACCCTGCTCTGGGCACAGGGGCCACACCACGGGTGACCTCTCTGATGAGGGGCGCAGGCCCCGCCCCAGCCTCGTCCCTCCCCAGCTGGGGCCCGGGCAGGAGAGTTCACCTTTCTGAGCCCAGCCCACGGTCCTGAGAGCAGGAGCAATTTCTACTAATGGCAGCTGGCAGGACAGAAACAGCAAAAACGCCTGGGGACTTGCTCCGCGTGGTGGAAGGAGCAACTCTGACCTTCTCTCGATACATCTCTGTGACCTTAGAATCTTTACGTGGTCACGCATTGCTTTTGTAATCAGAGTAAAGCAATGAAGGTAGGTTTTTGCTCCCACTTTAAAGGGAAACGATAGTACCTTCCCGGAAGGATTGCTGTGCAGGAAAATGAACTGAAGCTTACCGGGCACCTCGCACCAAAACCCTCAGTCACCATCAGCTGTCACTCGATGCCAGCCGCAGTGAAGACACTGCCTGCCTGCTCAGGGCAATGAGGATGTGGCCACCAGGGGGCACTCACGGCTCTTTTCCTTCTCGGAAAGGCAGGCCCAGATAGAGCGGGGACTATCTGATTCAGTGGCTCCCAATTTTGAGTTAACAAACCAGCGCAACCTCAAAACAAATTCTGGAAGTTGCTAACTCTTCATCATGACAAATAAGTACATTTAAAACACACACACACACACACACCCCACACACACACAAACTGCCCATTATCTAGATCACAGTTATTTCATAGAACAAAGGCCATTTTCATCTTCAAAAAGCAGAAGAGCTGACGTCTCAGAACAAAGAACAAAAAAATCAAGTTTCGTTCTAGAAACGCCCTTATCTTTTCCATCTTGTTGAGAACTGGTGAAAACGTCATCCCCTGCCGCTGGGGTCCTGATCCCCATCACTGTGTGGGCCTACGGGGCACCTGGGCCGAGGAGAGGGCAGGCCAGCTGGGGGCCTTCGGGGATTAGTACCCCAGCCTCTGACTCCTGCCTAGGGCTCTCGCCCTGTGTTCTCTAGAAGTAGCCACTGTAGGGCTGCTCTGAGACAAATTCTCGCCCCCTTTCCCTGGAGGCAGTGGCCCTGGGCCCTGGGCCCATCTCTTCTCGGCCTGGAGAGGCGGCCCGGGAGGGAAGGCAGGAGGTCTGGGAGGCTAGTGACTCCTGGGGAAGTCTCTGCCCTCTCTGGACCTCAGTTTCCTTTGGGTGAAGTGAAGCTCACACCCCTCCCCCCAAACCTCCCTGCTGTCCTCCCAGCCAGCATACACAGGAGCATGGGGTCAGCTCTCCTGCCCACCGGTCCTGTGAGTTCTCAGAAAGGCCGTTCCCCTCCACTGACCCAGCTGAGCTGATTCTGGCATTGCTCCTGGGGACCCTCCATCACCCCACTCCTCCCCCAGCCCCCAGGGACCTGAGGTGAGCCTCCCGGGCCTGGCCGGACGGAGGCGCTGCCGGCCTGAGCTGGCAGGGCTGCGGGGGAAGCGGAAGGTGCGTGTCAGGGCACGGCAACAGCAGCTACCACCTCCTGGGAGCCTCCCGGACACAGCCTTCCTGAGATGGATCTGCACCCAAGCCTCTGAGGCAGATCCACTTCCACCACCTCCGCCCGCCCTCCACCCCCGCCTTTACAGAGGGAGAAACAGCCCTTCAGAGAGGAACTAACCGCCGAGGCCACATGGCCAGCAGGCAGCAGGCTAACCCCAGGCCTGCGGGCTAAGGTGACAGAGCCCAGCTCAGCCAAGGCGGGCGGCCTTCCCGGGCCACACCCAGCGCCCCCGCCCAGCAGCCGCGCCTCCCCGCCCCCTGCCCCGGGCGGGCGCTGACCGGAGTGCGGGGCGCAGGATGCCGTTGCCGATGATGAAGTGCAGCTTCTCCAGGTTGGAGGTGGGCCGGTCCTCCAGCATGCTGTTGCCCTGCACCGTGGACTCCCCGTCGTGCAGCCTCTTGGTCACCTGGGCCACAGGGAGGAGTGAGGGACCTCCCTCCTGCCCGAGTCTGCCCACTCCCCTCGCCCCCCAAGAGCAGAATCCTGGGAGTGGCCCGAAGAGCTGGCTCCACCAGTCAGGCCCCCATCCTGCCCACCCCACCCCGTGCGGAACAGACGCTGGCTCCATGCCCAGCCCACCAGGCCCGCTGGCACCCACTTCTGGCGTTAAGGCTCCTCTGCAGCCTCCCTGCCTGACACCCCCCTTCCCCGGCCCCCTGCCAGTCAGGTCAGGGATCTGCTCCTCCAACTCTTGGCAGGACCCCCCTCTCTCCGGGGCTCCCCAGAGCATCCCCCAGTCCCAAGTCCCAGTCACCATCCCTGTCACCACGGCCCTGGCCCCTCTGAGTGAGTCCTGCCAGCCTGGGCCCTCCTCCCTGGTCTCACCCAGCCCAGGGCACCAGCCCTGCCCCTGCCCGGCTGGGGGTGAGAGAGAGCTGAGCAGTGAGCATGCGCCCTCCCGACGGAGTGGGGGTGGGGGGGTCCTCACAGCTCCTGAGCACCCACAGCTGTCGCCTTGCACTGGCCCTCCCGGGGACCCCCAGAATGGGTGTCTCGGTTACCCATGGGCAAAGGGGGGTTTGGCTCTAGGGCTCCGGGACTGTGAGGCTGGGTCTGAGCCTCAGAGGGGGACCAGGACGAGGCCGGAGGCAGAGGCAGCTGGAAGCCCCGAGGAGGAGCCTGGAGGCTGTGGAGGGGTCCCACGAGGCTCCGGGAGGAGGTCCCCCCACAGGCAGCGAGGAGGAGGGGGATGTTAGGGAGACGCACTGGTGTGTGCAGCTTTGGGGCCCGGGTAGCCAGCCCCGCGCTGTAAACGCCTGTTTGTCCCGTCTGCCCTCCCAGGCTGGACTGCCCGGAGCACAGGGCAGCGAGGGCTCTCAGACAAGGAAAGGCGACTGAACCAACGAGCTCAGGCGAATCGATAGCGTTGGTGCCCGAGGCACTCATCCCACAGCAAGGTCCTCAGAACAAACCCGTGGCGGGCACGTCCTCCCTCCCCAGCTGCCTCTCCAGCCCTCCCAGGCCTTCAGGTCCCCGCGTCTGGGAAGCCCTCCCCGACCTGGCCCAGCCTGACCTCGCCGCCCTCCGCCATCTCCCGGATCGCCCCCCGCGCTGTCCTGTCGCCTGCCCTCCCAGCGCCCTGAGCTCCAGCAGCCTCACTCCTGCTCCCATCCCAGCGGCCCCCGAAGGCAGCCCGGGTCTGCGCCAACCTCCTCGGTCAGCTTCGACTTCTTCTTCAGGGTCAAGTGCACCAGCTTGTGCCTCATGCTGCTCTTCTTCTGCCCCTCGGGGAGCTGGGCCTGCAGGGCAACGGGGGCCAGGGGTCAGGGCCAAGCGAGTGGGCCAAAGTAATGACCAGTGCAGCTGACCATGGGGCTGTGGCTGGAGGAGTGTCTCACCTGCACACGAATGCGTATGAGGCAAACCCCACGCTGACACCTCCACCCTCACCCCCACACGGCCCCTACCAGCGCCAGACGGGAAACTGAGGCTGGGAAAGTGTAGTGACCCGCCCAGCGGCCCTCGGTGAGTCTCCGTGGCGCCAGGCCCAGCTATGGAGGCCGGCTGCTCCGCCACGTGGCCTCACTCACGCGTGGTCAACGCCTGAAGCTTACAACACACCCCGACACGTGTTCCCAGACAGAGGAGAGCTTGGGTCCGGGAGGTGAGGCGGAGGCGAGTGTTAGGACCCTCCTCTGCTGAGGGCCCTGCGGCGTGGGAGCCCGGACATTCCTGCCCACTGACCGGCTGGGAGGGGGGGGGACATCGGCTGAGGGTCCCGGGCCTCACCTCGCCCTCGCCCTGCAGCGCCTGCAGCTCCCTCTTGTAGGTCTTCTTGCCGAGGGTCTCGTAGATCTTGGTCATCACGGGGATCTTCTCGCTGCCGTCGCTCATGGCCGTGTGGTACTTGGGCTCGGGGAGGTCGCCCATGAAGCGGAGGATGGTGATCCACACGGCCAGGGCCGCCTGGGGAGGGCCGCGGCGTCAGAGAGCCCGGGGCAGGGCGTCACTGCGACCAGCGGCGTCCCCGGGGGCGGGGGAGAGAAGCCCACGGAGGCCCCTGTGCTGAGGGCATTCGACGTCCCTAGCATCTTGCCCAGGAGGCCTGGCCCCAGGCTGGCAGCGGGGAAAGCCGGCCCTGGCCCCCGCCCCCAGGGACCTGCTCTGGGCCCCCGGAGCGCCCGCCGCCCTCACCAGCTGGTCACCCTCATCCTCGTGGTACAGCAGGGGCTGCTTGAGCGGCCGCCGGGTGTAGGTGTGGGTGGTGGTGCCCTGGAAGTAGGTGGCGGAGAACTTGGCGAACTTGTACTCGGAGAGGTCCTCCTCGTCCTCGTCGGGCAGGGGCAGGGCCGCGTCCAGGTCCTCCTCCACCATCTCCCGCCGCCCGCGCTCCAGGTCCTGCGGAGGCGAGAGGGTCCCTGCTGTGCGGGCGGACGCAGCAGCCCCCCGCCTGCCCCGGGGGGGGGGGGGGGGCGCGGTGCCGTCCTGTCCACGACTCGGAAGCTGGCGCCTGGGGAGACCTCAATGCACGAGTGAATACAAGTGTGTGCGTGGCCCTGGAGAGGGACAGAGCCTGAGCCGACGTGGCAGGCTGGCGGCCGGACAGGGCCCGGGCCCCACGGCCCCCACCCCGGTCCTCGCCGCTGCCCTCTGCTCAGAGGGGACCAGGTGGTCTTCAGCGCAGGGGGCAGGGGCGCAGTCACCCCCTGGAGGCCCGCCGCCAGCCCCTGTCCCCGGCCTCGTACCTCAAAGCCACTGGGGGCCTGGCCCTCCTGGCCCGGCAGGCCGCCCAAGGTCCCCAGGAAGCCGAACATCTTGTCCACCATGTCCGAGTGGTTGACGGGCTCGTGGCGGGCCCGCTCCATCTGCTCCAGGAGCTCCTTCTTCCTCCGCGCCGCCTCCTTCTCCTTCAGCTCCCGCTCGGCGTCCTCGCGGGCCAGCTGGGCCAGGCGCTCCTGGGGGGAGGGGAGGGGGTGATGCAGCGGAGACAGCTTCCGCAACAAACTCTCCCTGGGGAGCCCCAGGGCCCCTGCAGCACCCAGGCCACACTCCCGCCTCCCCCCGGGCCTCCTGGCCACCGGGAGGGACCGGCCTCGGGCTCCCCCACCCGGGGCCCCGCTCCCCTCAGCCCTCGGAGCTGTGCAGACAGGAGCCCAGACAGGAAGGCCACCTGCCTCCGGGGCTCGGCTGGAGCACCGCCCCCAGGAAGCCCGCTCAGGCCTCCCCAGCTGGAGGGGACCCCGCCACCTGCCACCCGAAACCCCATTGCGGTGGCTCCAGGCTGTGGACCAGCGCCGTCCACAGCAAGATCGCGGGAGCCATGCACAGAGCAGCTACACTTAACACAGTCTTGGGAAACGCGTGAAACCAACCTCAATCATATCTTTTATTTAACCCAGTCTTTCCAAAACACCATCTCAACGTGTAATATTTTAAGAATAGTACCGATGCCGAAACCGGTTTGGCTCACTGGACAGAGCGTCAGCCTGCAGACTGAAAGGTGCCGGGTTCGATTCCGGTCAAGGGCATGTACCTTGGTTGTGGGCACATCCCCAGTAGGGGTTGTGCAGGAGGCAGCTGATCGATGTTTCTCTCTCATTAGTATTTCTCTCTATCCCTCTCCCTTCCTCTCTGTAAAAAAAAAATCAATAAAATATATTTTTTAGAATAAAAAATAATAATAAATAAACAAATAAAAATAGTACCGAGATCGTTTATAGCCCTATTTTTTTCCTCACTGCCTTCAAAACCCCGCGTGCATCTTATGCTCAGGGTGCCGTGTCATTTCAAAAGCTCGGTCACCACACGGGGCTGGTGGCCCATGCTGGGTGCTGTCTCCCAGCTGGGAAAGGTGCCCCTGAGGGCACGGAGCCGCACGCTCGGGAGCCCGCCACCTCCGTCCTGGGCCGGGTTCGCCCAGAGCACCCGCGGGAACAGACAGCGGAGCGCTGGGCCGGGCCCCGCTCACCTGGTGCTTGCGCTCGGCCTCCTCCTTGGCCTTCTTGGCGCTCATCTCCTTCCGCAGCTTCTCCTCCTCCGCCAGCCGCATCTTCTCCGCCTCCAGACGCCGCCGGTACTGCGGCAGGGAGGGCCCCGGTTACCGGCCCCACCTCACCTGACTGAGCTCCGGGCCTGGGAGCGGCTTTGCCAAAGCATTTGGCAGATGGGGAAACGGACGGAGGCATCTGGGAAATTCCCCAGGTCCCTAGACCGGGGGGGGGGGGGGGGGGGGGGGGGGGGGGGGGTGGGGGAGGGTAGGTTTGACCCCACGGATCCCCAAACCAGGTTCTCCAGCACCTCCCGAAGGTTTACCCGGGGCCGGGAGAATGAAGGAGCGCGAGGGGTCCGGTCTCTGTGTTGTCATTCCCCAGGGAGACACAGCCCCAGGCCTCAGCCAACAAGCGGAGTGGTGTGTCCCCGCACGGGCGGGAGGCTCACCTCGGCCCGGAGGCGCCGGTGCAGCCGGCGGGCGATCATGCCGCGGGCGTAGGCCTGCACGGTGAGCACGGCCCACAGGCGGTGGCGGAAGGCCCTGCGCACCAGGTAGGCCCGGCAGCGCGCCTGGAACTGGATGATGCGCCGGCGGGCCAGGCGGTACTGCTGGTGCAGCTTCCGGGAGCGGTGCAGCGCCTGCAGCCGCAGGAAGCCCAGCCGCATCTGCAAGCACAGCCCGGCTCAGAGCCCGGACCCCGGGGGGACGGCCCTGCCCTGGCCCCTCTCCCACTGCACGCACACGCCCCAAAGCAACACCCTGGCCTCCCTGGACTGGGGCTCCCAGAGGGCTCTGCCTCCTCTCAGGCGGAGTTTCCCAGCAGTGTCCTTGGCTCCCCATCCGCAGACCAGGAGCTGCTCTCCTTCCTGTCTGCCCCGCAGCCCCACCTCAGGCTGCAGCCCCGTTGCTCCCCTGAGGTCAGGGGGACGCACCTGCTCGGGCCCCCTCGGAGGTGTCTAATGACCTAGTGCTCACTCTCATGGGAACATTCCAGAAGAAAAGCCTAAACATCGCTGATCCAGTGGGAAAAGGCACCAGGACCAGCCTTGGGCTCCGGGCTGGAGAAATGGCAGGGGCAGCGGGGGCAGTGGCAGGAGGCCACGGGTCCGGGCACAGGTGTATCCTGCAGCCCAGCGGGTTCAAAGGCCTGGGGGCCCGGAGCAGCCCCCTGGGGAGGCTCACCAGCCCGTAGTTCCTCCTGCAGTTATGGCCGCGCCAGTGCCTCTGGATCAGGGTGGCGGCATTCTTCAGCTTCAGGAAGTTGGACCTGAAACAGCAGGAGATCCTCAGAGCGGAGGCGTGGTGCCCAGAGGCAGAGGGTGCAGAAGGGGTTTGGAATCAGGACCGCAGGGCTAGTCCCAGCTCTGTGCCTCCTGAATACATGACCCCGGGGCAACAGGGTCTCTCCTCTCTGCCTCAACTTCCTCATCTGTGAAGTGGGTAGAATGATACCTGCCCGGCCTGCTCACAGGCTTGTCACAGGAGCCCAATAAGGAGGTTTTCCAAATGTGTTTATTGAATAAATAAATGTATGAATAATAAGTAAGTGATATTAAAGATTGGAGTATTTGAACAGTGTGAACATCACTCACTACTATCAAATTTCCCCATTTTATAGATGACTGAGACTCAGTGAGGTTGGAGTACAGTCCACATTGTCTGACTGGGTGAGCGCCATGCTGTCCCCTGCACGCTCTAGACGGCTTCTCCAGGGTGACAGTCACCTAGGACCTGATGGAGGACAAAGAGGCCACACATCAAACAGCAGGTGTCTGCTGATCGTGGAAATAAATATAGGAGGAGGGAACATTAATACCGCCATGTGTGAGCGAGCCAGCAGGCCAATGCCTAGAGGCACACAGAGCAAGTGAGCAACTGAGGAAGGAAACAGAGATGGGTGGGCAGACATTAGGTGAGCAGGCGGTGGGTGGGTGGGTGGATGGAGAAGAGGGAGTGACCAGATGGACTGCAAAAGGGGCAGGCTGTGGGGTTTGTGTGAAGCCTGAATTGCACTCCAGAGTCCGTCCTGCTGGTTTGTGGATTGTCACAGCTATTCATGTCCCTTATTTGGAATAAGGAACACACTTGGGTAATTTATAAAACTTGTAATTTATAAAAATCTCAAATTTTCTCTTTGAGAAATTTCACCAGGCCTTTGAGACCACAGAGTGTCCAAATGTGTGTGCCCCCTGAATCCACATGTGTGTGCCTGTGTAAACCATGTGCCTGTGTGTTCACCCATGTGCCAGGCATGTATGCTCTCATTTCTATGTGTGCACCTGGGTGTGCATGCTTAGTTTTAGTGCTCCGGTTACAGGAAAAGAGGTGAGCGAAGTGTGTGTGTGGGGGCTCTCGTGGGGAGCAGCTGGTCCCGGCACGTACCTGTCTTTGAATCCCCGGATGACCTTCTGGAGGAGGATGACTCTGTCGGTAATGGCCTTGTCCCGCTCCACCTCCAGCTGCATGTCGTGGTGGTCCTAGGGGCAGAGCTCCTGAGCAGCGCCCCCCCCCCCCCGTGAATCCACGTGAAGCCCCTCACTTCCTTCTCTTGGATTCCAGGCCCCCAGCCCCGCTCTGCTCCCTGGGGCCGCCTCTCACAGCCCAGGACAGAGAGGGGTGCGTGAGGCTGTTTTTTTACCCAGAGCTCTGAGTGGGACAAACGGAGCAGGAGGAGCCCAGTGCGACTAGTGGGGTCAGAGGGTGCGTCCCTATGGCCTTTCCTGCCCACGCCGTGCCTTCCCAGATGTCTCTGTCACAGCAGCCTCTGACCCGGGCCGGGCCACCCTCTAGGGATCTTGGCAGCAGCCTCCTAACCAGTCTCCTGGCCCCTGTCGCTCCCCTCGGCCCTCCCTAAGCAGGGCCCCTCCTAAAACAGCTGTCAGGTGATCTTACAGTGATGCCCATGGATACCAGGGACAAGCCTGGTCCCCCCTGGCACCCAGGCCCCGCCAAGTTCTCCAGGCCTGACCTCTCCTCCCCCCACACCCCCACCCTTCACTCTGGTGAGACAAAAACCTCCTCATTCACTCAACGCCTTTAAAATGAGCGTCTCCACTGCCGGCACCGTGCTGGGTGCTGGAGCGGGTCCTCAGGGAGCCAGGCGGACGGGGCCCGGCCCTGGGTCTCCGTGGGGGAGCCACACCCACCAGTTAGTCACAGACCACAGCTCCGGGGGCGAGAGCTCAGCACAGAGGAGCTGCTCGGCCATGCCTTTCTGAATGAATGAATGAATGAATGAATGAGCGACTGGGAAGTGGACACTGAGACTGGAAACCACTCCTGTTTTCTGAGGAGCCCAGAGAGGTGAGGCCGGGACAGCCATGGTCCTCAGAGCTGCCTGGCTCGGTGCCACCGGGCCGCGTGCCCTCCCTCCCTTACCTACACGGCCGGGCATCAGACCAACCCTGGCCGGAAGCCCAGGGCCTGACCCCGGGCATCTCACTTCTTCTCTCCGAGCCTCTGAAATGGGCACCATGATCCTACCCCACTGGCTGCTGTGACGGCTAAATAAGATCATGGACGAAAAGCCCCACCGGAGTCGGGGCAGGTGAGGGGTGCAGGGCCGGTGCACACATTTTTCCAACGAGGAAATGAAGGCTCGGGACCCTGAGGCCAGGAAGGAATCGCACTGGAGCCGGGGGCTCCCTCCAGCTCCGCTGGCTCCTTCCTTCCCTCCGCCCGGACCTCCCGCACGGCCCAGGCCCCGCCCGGCTCCAGAGGAAGGAGCCTTGCCCTGTGGCCTCAGATTGGATCGCCAGAAAGCGAACGGAAATGGAAATGAGGAAGCCGGCGCGCTGGGAGCTCACACTGTCCCTGCAGCTGCGGCCCCACCACCCCCAACACCCAGCAAGCTCTGCTCCAAGGCCAGGACGCCCCACGACCCAGCTTCCTGCTCCCAGCCCTGCCCCCTCCCCCACGGCCGGGCTCTGGTCCCTGCCCTGGCTGCAGGGGGAGCCAGAGAGCTCCAGGTTTGCGCTCAGGGAGGGGAGGAACTAGGCACACCAGAGAGTGAGGGGGTGGCACCCTGCAGAGCCTGGGTGAGCCCTGCCTGGCAGGCAACCACAGAAGAGGACCTCCAGATACACTGGAGAAATCCCCCCCAGGCACGTCCTATTTAAGGGAAAATGAGGCTCAGTGAGGGCCAGGGGCTGCCCAGAGGCCCAGGGAAGACAGCTGCCGGTCAGCACTGAACCCATGAGCCCACTCTGGTCTTCCCACCAGGCTCAGTGCTCTGCCCCCAAGCCCAGGGCACAGCTGGCTCAATACCAGCTGCCCCGCTCCTACCAAGAAGGCCTCATTGCCCGCCCACAGGCCCACCCGTCCCGTCACAGACAGCAGGATGGGAGGATGCACAGGCCCAGCCCTGACCCATCTGATGCCGGCTTCTCCATAGAGGCCCCCCTGGTGCCCGTTCCCACGGCGACAGGAGGCCACAGCCCCCAAGGCCCTGGGGCTGAGAGCCTCACTCACCTTCAGGAAGATCTTGGTTTTGCCAATCTGCCAGTCGTCGTGCGTGCCCAGCACCGCCTCCGCCATGCGCTGGCAGGTCCCCCGAAGGTCGTCCTGGGGGCAGGGGCGCACCGGGGAATGGGCCGCGGGAAAGGCCGCCTCCACGTCCTCCGAGGCCGGGAGGCAGGGCTCCTGCTCCCGCTCTGCCCCAACTCCCTGTGGGCCCCACGCCGGCCCTGCCTGCTCTGACCCCACTTGTCTCCGAAGCTCCGCGGGCGACTGCAGGACCCTCTCCCCCCTCCACCTGGCTGGAGTGGCTCCGTGGTTCTCACCTTCCTTTCATACAGCTCCTCAAGCTGTGGTGACCCCCATGGTCTCAGGCTCTACAGCAGCGGTTCTCAACCCGTCCTGACCCACAGGTTGAGAACCGCTAGATATTTATTTACATTACGATTCCTAACCGTAGCAACATTACAGTTATGAAGTAGCAATGGAAGTAATGTTATGGTTGGGGGTCACCACAACATGAGGAGCTGTATTAAAGAGTTTTAGCATTAGGAAGGTTGAGAACCACTGGCCTGGCTGGAGTGGCCCAGTGGCTGAGCCTCGACCCATGAACCAAGACGTCGCCGGTTCGATTCCCGGTCAGGGCACATGCCAGGGTGGTGGGGCGTGCAGGAGGCAGACGATCAATGATTCTCTCTCATCACTGATATTTCTATCCCTCGATCCCTCTCCCTTTCTCTCTCTAAAATAACTAAATAAAGTCAGTAAAAAAAAAAAAAAAAAAAGTATTTAAAAAATCACTACCCTCTTGCCCACTTGGTAGCCCTGATCTCATCCATTACGCCTGCCTGTGAGGTCCACGTCCACCAAGCATGGCCATCGAAGCCTCATGCACTTCACGATGCCCCCCCCGCCCCCCCCCCTTTCCCCAGCCACCCCTCAGGGGGCCGGCGGGCCTCCGCCCAGCACGCTGTCTCAGGGGGAGAGGGGCCCTGCCCCGCCCGGCTGGGCCTGCCCCTGCCGCCCGGCCGGCGCTGCACCTGCTTGTAGGCGGGCTTCACGCCGGGCAGCAGCACGCGGTAGCGCTCCACGAACTCCACGAAGCTGTAGCGGATGGGGTAGCCGGCGCGGCGGATGCGGATGGTCTCCATCATCCCCGAGTACCGCAGCTGGCGCACGCACAGGTGCCGGTCGAACAGCTGCCGGAGCCGCGGCGTCAGGGTGGGCGGCTCCCGGTGCAGGCCGACCCTGCTCCGGTCCCCAGCCCCAGACACGGCCGCACGCACAGGAGGAGCAGAGGGGGCTGAGCCCGGGCCTGCCTTCAAACCCACAGGCAGCAAGAAACGGGATCCTGCCGGAACCGGTGTGGCTCAGTGGATAGAGTGTCGGCCTGGGGACTCAAGGGTCCCAGGTTCGATTCCGGTCAAGGGTATGTGCCTCGGTTGCGGGCACATCCCCAGTGGGGGGTGTGCAGAAGGCAGCTAGTCGATGTTTCTCTCTCATCGATGTTTCTGACTCTCTATCCCTCTCTCTTCCTCTCTGTTAAAAAAAAAAAAATCAATAAAAAAGATGGTGGGATCTCATTTCTTTCTTTAAAGGAAAAAAAAAAAAAGAAAGAAAGAAATGGGATCCCCCCCGGGGGCGAGCTGGTGCTCGGGGGCGTAGAGGAGAGATGGCTTAACCCCCGGGGACACCCGGAGAGGCTGCATGGAGGAGGCAGCCTTCGCTCGGAGCCTGGAGAACGCGGGAGGGGCAGGGCCAGCCTGTGCGGGCAGGACGTGGCGGGGCTTCACAGGGCCCGTGGCTGTGAGGGTGCGAGGTACTGGCACCGTCCCAGGGGGCCCTTCCTCTCACGGCCATTGCAGGTGGGTCCTTATTTAGACCACTTTCTGGCGCTGACAGGGAAGTAAGTGCCTTAAGAAAGACATGCCCGTGTTTCCCCGAAAATAAGACATCCTCCGAAAATAAGACCTAGCGCATGGAAAGATAAGACATCCCTTGAAAATAAGACCTAGCGCAACTTTGGGAGAAAAAGTTAATACAAGACACTGTCTTATTTTCGGGGAAACAGGATATTTGTCTCATGGGCACCAAGTTGTTTTTGTGACGGCAGCACCGGCCTGGGGCTCCTGATGGGGCTGAGCAGGCCCCCGGGGGCCTGGCTGGGGGCAGCAGCAGCGAGCGGTTAGGTGTGCGTGGGACACCCCTGTCTCTCCCTGAGTGCGGGGGCCTGGGCAGGGGGGCGGGGGCAGGAGGGCAGAGGGCAGTGAGGATGTCCCGCCGTCACCGTCCGGGCCACAGATGCTGAGGTCGGGGCCCAGAGAAGGTCCCTGGGCATCTGAGAGCAGGAGCGATGGCACCCAGCTGCCCGGCAGGGCCCTGGCCCCCTTCCCCCTGCTTTGGGCGGGGAGCCCGCACCCTGCAGACCGGCCCCGAGCCCCAGGGGGACCGGTCAGCGCTCCGGGAAATGCGTCCGGGCAGGGGGCAGGGCCAGCACGTGTGCGGCCGGCCGGCCGCCTTCCTTCCGCCACCTGTTTCCTCTCCCTCCGGCCACTTTCCCTGGCCCGGGGGTGCCCCCACCTCCTGCCCCAGCACCCCACCCCAGCCGCTCGGAGGAGCATGTGGGGAACACACACCCAGAGCCCTGGGCGGACAGGGGCGCCCGTGAGGGTGTGGGCTCTGCAGCCACAAGCGCCTTTGCCTCCCTGGGCCTCAGCCCCCCATCGCCCAGTCCCCCCACGCCCAGCCCCTCCACCGCCCCACCCGGCTGGGTCCAGGCGGCCCCCGCCCCCCAGGGCCGCTCACCATGGGCTTCTTGAACTCGTTGGGCTTGATGCAGCGCACGAAGAAGGGCTGGCAGGCCCCCAGCGTGCGCATCAGCAGCTCCAGCGACCGCTTGAACTGGCTGCTGAGCGTGGGCGAGCGCTTCCTGGTCTCCGCGCCCTGCGGAGGGACACAGCGAGGGGAGGGGCTGACCCGTGTCCGCCAGCGCTCCCGGAGGGAAGGGGAGGGAGGGGAGGGGAGGGGAGGGCAGGGCAGGGGAGGGGAGGGGAGGGCAGGGGAAGGGGGAGGGCAGGGCAGGGGAGGGGAGGGGAGGGGAGGGGAGGGAGAAGGGAAGGGAAGCGAGAAGGGAAGGGAAGCGAAAAGGGAAGGGAAGGGACTGTGGGAGGTCAGTGGGCTCAGGGCCGGTGGGAGGACAGCCCGGCGAAGCAGGCTGCCCAGGGAACTTGGGGTTTCCCTGTGACCTGTCTGGTCTGGTCTGGAGCTTGGACCCAGGGGTGGCCCCTCCAGGGAGCCTGCTGGGACTGAGCCGGGAGGAGCCCTGGGGTGCTGGAGGATTCTAGGCCGGTCACAGCCCCCCTCTGTCTCCAATCTCCTCTCCAGGAATACACGAGTGGCCAAACGTGCTCCCTCCGAGCATCGGGGAGGGGAAGGGTCATTCCCAGAGACGGGTGAGAGGACCTGCACTCAGACCCTGGCCCCATGTGTGACCTCGAGCAGGTCACTGAACTGCGCTGAGCCTCCCTCTCTGTCGGGCTGCCAGGCTGCCATGGGAGTGGGCACAGTGGGCATGAACAGCAGCCTGGGAGCCTGGAATGGACAGAGCGGGGATGGGGTGGGGGTGGGGGTCCTGTCTGTGCCCTCCCCTCCTTTGGGATTAGCGGCTCAGCAGCTGGCTGGCTGAGCAGGCCCGGGCCAGCCTCCTAAGAAGGCGCCCAGCTGGCCTCCCACTGCGTGGCCCGAGGCCCACGGCTCTGGGCTCCACCAGCCAGTTTCTCTGGGGAGCCCACAGGGACCCCTGCACCTCCCTGCCCTGGGGGAGCCCCTCTCCGAATATGGTGAAATGGTGGGGAGGCCGGACAGCAAACAGACAGGAAGCGGACCGTCTCAGACTGATACCCAGACACTGGCCATAGAACCCAGATTCTATTCCAAAGCATTTCGATGTTATTGTTTTGCTGGCAACTTCTGTTGGGTGAGGATTTCTCACGAATGAATTTGATTGTCGCTGTAAGGTTTTATGCTACACGCGAGACATAAATGTAGCTGATCTCCTCAGCGCCCCAAACCCGGGGTGCAGGCGCGGACATGTGAGGTGTGGGTGGGAGGCAGAGGGTTCAACCCACTGACCGTGAGCCCCAGACTGAACCGAACCTGCCGAGAAACAGCAAACACTTGCTGGTCTGAAATGTGCAGTGTTTTCCGTTTTCCTTTTGTTTGGAGCATATCCTAAGGTTTGCCAAGGGAAGCTGGGAGTGTTTGGGGGGCGGGGCAGGGGGGTGAGGGTGAATGTCAGGCTGGCTGCCCCCAATCCTGGCCCAGCAGCAGCACTGGGCCGGGGAGCTGTCCAGGTTGGGCTGTGCCCGGCCTGTGTGGGAGCCCTGCCCTAAGCACACGCAGCACAGACTCAGACACTCATACACAGTGTGCACAGACACACAGCATACATAACACAGCTCACAGAACACACACAGCATTCACAACACACAGCTCACAGAACACAGCACAGACACAGACACTCATACACAGTGTGCACAGACACACAGCATATACAACACAGCTCACAGAACACACACAACACACAGCTCACAAAACACACACAGCATTCACAACACACAGCTCACAAAACACACACAGCATTCACAACACACAGCTCACAGAACACACAGCACATGCACACAACTCACAGAACACACACAGCATTCACAACACACAGCTCACAGAACACACACACAGCACACAACACACAGCTCACAGAACACACATCACAGACTCAGACACGCATACACAGTGTACGCAGAACACAACCTCTCCTGCTGGGAGGTTGCAGGCAGGAGACCCGCCAGCACAGCGTGAACAGAGCATCCTGTGGACTCAGGGCCCCGGGGCATGTGACTGGGGTTAGACATGAATGTGGGTGCTCAGCGGACCTCCCCGCAGCAATGGCTGGCGGGGGGGCCCCGGGCCGGGCCATCCTGGGGAGGAGACACAGAAGCAGGCTGGGCGTCCAGGGGCGCGGCCTCACAGGACATGCGTTCAGATCGCTGGACAAGGCGTCTGGGGCCTCCGTCCCGAGAGAGCCCTGCCGCCAGCACACCGAGTGGGACAAACCCACTTCCCACTCCACCCAGCCGGCTCCCGGGTGTGGTGACAGAGCCGCGGCGTTCCCAGCGGGTACAGAGCACTTTCCTTCTCCGGGGGCGCCGCTCACGGGGTCCGCATCGTGCAGGGAGAAGAGCGGGGACCTGGACGGCCCCACTCGCCCTCACTGGGCTGTGACCCTGGACCAGCCGCTGAACCAGACCTGGATCAAACCCCTCGTGTGTCCCAAGCTGTGTGAGCGCAAGCAAGCAGCTAGGCCTCCCGGGGCCCCAGGGGGGCAATTGTGATGTGGGGTGAGAGGAGGAGGGGTGGGAGGAAAAGACGGGGTTCAGTGGCAGGCCAGGACCAGAAGGAGTGGGTGGACTGGCCAGGGTGGGCTGAGAGGAAAGAATGGGAAGGACGAGAGGAAAGAATCCAGGAGAGCCTCAGGCCCGCCTGTCCATCATGTGACCTGTGACCGGTGGATTCTGGGTGGGAGTGCTGGGAGCTGGCGCCTCAGGAGTCTGGGCTCCCTCCTGGTGGCCCTGCATTCGCCCTGTTACCTGACTGAGCCACAATGGGGGTGGGCTCAGGCTGCTCCAGGGCCAGAGGACAGGCCCCCTGCCCGCTCTGCAGCGGTGGCTTTCACCCATCAGTTTCAGAACTCTGAGAGGCCCTGGGCAGCAGGGGGCGCCATACCTCCGGGAAGGAAGAGCGACTCAGCATTTAGACCGAGCGTGGGAAGACATCAGGATTAGACCAAGAGGAGACTGAGGGTCAGAAGAGCAAAGGGAGAAGGGGAAAAATCGGGACTTTTTTTTAAAACGCCGCGGGACATGGGAAACATTGTTAGAAAGCGGGACGATCTGGTCACCTTAATCTACGGCCAGCTCCCCAGGATGCTGACTTGGGGTGGGTCACACCCCATCTCTGAGCTTTCTATCTGCAAAATGCTGAAACCACCACCTGCCCCTCCTGCCGCTCCAGGCCACCGAGGACCTGGCCACCGAGTGCAGGGCCTGGGGGGGAGCTGCCTTGATGCCTCGAAGAGGCTGGAGGGGGAGGGGGACACAGGACTTGGGAGACTCGGTTTGGTCTCGGATCTGCCCTGGCTCTCGGGGCAGCTGGGCAAGTCTTGCCTCTTTTCCTAGGACTCAGTTTCCTTCCTTGAGAAACTGAGATGTCTGTAGTACACACACTCAAAAACCAAAACCAAAACCACTCCACAAACCACTCCACAAAAAGCACACGCAGAAAACCAAGAAAGGAAAAGGAAAGCCAGGCCTTTCCCCAAACCCTGGTGCCTCGGGGACCACGGACACAGCCCGGGCCCAGGGGCAGCCGTGGCCTCGGGGGCTGTTACCTTCGCGGAAGCCGCTGGCTGGCGGAGGGTGCCCGATGAGTAACCACAGAGAAACTACAGCAGGAACCACAGTGCGGGGCCAGATGGGCGAGGGGCAAGGAGAACGGGGTGGGTCAGAGAGCCGAGGGCAAAACCCACCAGGGAGAGAGGAGGACCCTCGGGGCAGAGGTCTGGGCTCCTTGGGGCTGGGGACACCTGAGGCACCTGGACGGGCACCGAGGGGGCAGCGGTGCTGCCTGCCCTGCGAGCTGCTCTGTGCCCCACCCCCCCAAGAAGCCACCGGACAGGAGGAAACATGAAACCAAAGGCCTGGGATCCTGCAGGGAGAAGCCCACTGGCCTCCCACGCCAGGGACAAAGGGAGACGGAGGTGGGAAATTCTCCAGGGCAGGTGCCATTTTTGCCATTTCGACCCTTTGTGCCATTCCCCTGAATGCCCACACCTACCTATGACCTTCAGGCCGGACCTGCGCCCTGTGAGCAGTGGGAGGTCCAGTGGGGGGGACCCCCATGGTAAACCGAGTCCTGATCAGGCTCTGCTCTGTGACCTCTCACGTGACCCTTCTCTGGGCCTTGCACCCTCCATACCCCTCCCCCCTCCCCCAGTCAGTATAGGAAGACCAGATGGGAGGGTCTTGGAGGGCCCCCAACCCCTTCTACAAGCACAGGACACTGCAGCTGGGACGCTCTGACGCTGTTGGACATGGGTGCCTGGACACCGGCCTGGGGACCCTTTCCGCCCCCCCCCCCCCCCCCCCACTGGAAGCCCTGCCCCGACGTTACCATGGCGACGTCGGCCTGGAAGATCTGCTTGATGAACTTGTTCCTGGAGGAGTGGACCAGCTGGATGATGTCTCCGTGCAGGGTGTCCCGGTTCTTCTCCAGGAAGCCTGGGCAGCGGCAAAGAGTGGTCACGCCTCACCGTCCCCCGCTGCCTACCACCCCAAAGGCAAGGCCAGAGGATCCTCAAAGCTCACCCAGTCCACCCACGCCCACGTTACAGGGGGGACACCAAGGCCTGGAGGGGACAGCTGCTGGCCCAAGGTCACAGAGAGAGCGAGGGCGGAGCCTGAGCCGGAGCGCCATCGCCCCAGCCACACCGCCCGCTTCAGGCCTGTCAGAGGTCTGTCCCCTTCCTGAGCGAACGCCAAGGCCTAAAAGGCCAGCCTTAGGCTTTTACACAAAGGCGTCCGAAGCACTGGATAAGTGTCCACCTGGGAGAGACTCTGTGTGGATCCGGTACCGGCTAATAGTACAGAAATTAACTCAGCATAGCCTGAGGTTGTCAAAGCCCCCTCCCAGCTCCGATGCTCACGGCTACCCCGCACCCAGGAGGTGTGAGACAGGCAGGAATTCCTTCTCATCCCACCAGAGAGGGAAGTGATGTTCAGAGAAGCTAAGCAAGGTGCCGAACACCACACCGCAAGTCATGGGCAGAGTTAAGACTCAAACTCAGACCACCGTGCAGGCCAAGGAGGCTTCCCTGCACCACACAGACCCCCCTGCCTGCTGTTCCCAGTTATTGGGGAGTTAGGACCTGGCTAATGGGAGTGGGGTGCTGGGGGGCAGGAGGCAGGAGCCCAGGCTGAGGAGGAGGGACACTGCAGAGAGGCAGCACCCTCTCCCCGCAGGACTCCGGCTGCGCGGGCTGGGGATGGCACGGAGACCAGTGCTGGGCTGCCCTCCGGGCATCTGAGCAGGAGCACTGGGCAGTGGAAGGGTGGGCTGGGGGCGGGGCATGGATTGTAGGACTCTAACTAAAGCACTGTGACCCTGGGAGCATTCCCTCTGGGCCTCAGCTTCCTCGTCTGTCAGACTGGGAAAGACAGTACTCAAAGGCTCTGGCTTCTCTTAGACCACCTGGCACCATCCGTGCCATAAAAGAAACGCCAGATTAAACAGGACTTCGAGAGCCAGAAAATGCTGGCAGAATTGCTTAAAGCGGTTCAAACCGGGTTAGTGATCTTAGGCAATTTACCATTTTTTGATAAATGGATAACTTTCACTCTCTGGACCTCAAATTGCACATCCACAGAAGGAGATGGCCCTCGTGATCCCCCCAGATGCAGCCTTCTATAATCCTGTAACTTCCTGTAACGTTCCCCTGGTCTTCACGTCGGCATCCTCAGCAATAGCAGGGGGCCTGGCGCCTAACAGAAGCTCAGCGAATGCTGGTGGCCCTGAACTGAAAAACACAGCCCTCTGTCACTCCCAACAACAGACCCAAGTGGTGCTGGCTTCCTTCCCTCTAACACAACGTTTTTCAACCGCTGTTCCGCGGCACACTAGTGTGCCGCGAGATGTTGCCTGGTGTGCCGTAGGTGCAGACAAGACAAGGATTTTATAATTTTTCACTATTTTGTTTACTTAATATTTCATAATAAAGTAATTATAAAATACTTTCTTTGTGTTTATTTGATTCCTATTCAAGAGAATTACTTTATATATAGTCAATATAGGCACAGAGTTAAATTTTTTAACATTTTCTAATGGTGGTGTGCCTCGTGATTTTTTTCATGAAACAAGTGTGCCTTTGCCCAAAAAAGGTTGAAAAACACTGCTCTAACATTTCATATTCTGAGGAGGGCTGAGCAGCCTGGGGATTCCACCCCCGCAGCATGGCTCATGGCACACTCCACTGCCTCTGGGCCAGCTCCCCAAGGACGGCTAACCCGATGGCTATGCTTATTTGTTTTGAATTTCAATGGCTCGGACGGTGGGGGTGGGGGCGCCCTTTAGGGCTGAATGGCCGGAGCTCCATGTACACACATCCCACAGCTGAGACCCGTTCAAGGCCGGCCCTTTACAACGGGGTGGGCCAGGGCCCTCTGCAGGCTTCTGGCAGACCCTGTAAGAATTCCAAGTGGGGTACACCTGACTGCGTTCTGAACCTCTTCTTGACGTCTAGCTTGAAAACGAACCCGACTGCATGTCCCAGGAGGGAAGAAGAGCATCCCCTTCAAAGCTCACACGTGCCGAAACCGGTGTGGCTCAGTGGATAGGGCGTCGGTCTGCGGACTGAAAGGTCCCAGGTTCGATTCCGGTCAAGGGCATGTACCTTGGTTGCGGGCACATTCCCAGTCGGGGGTGTGCAAGAGGCAGCTGATCGATGTGTCTCTCTCATCCATGTTTCTAGCTCTCTATCCCTCTCCCTTCCTCTCTGTAAAAACTGAATAAAATATATTTAAAAAAACAACAACTCACAAGTGGTCTTTGGCTGAAAGAGTCTTGGTGGGCGAGTGGGCTGGTTCGAGGCCTGGCTTTGCATCCGATGGGCTATGTCTTGTAAGGACAGTGAACCCCCCTTATAAGCCTCCCGTTTCCCGTATGTACAGACAGCACTGAGCCCCAAAGAACTGAAAGCAGGGACTCAAATACTTGTCCACCACGTTCGCAGCAGCATTATTTGCAATAGCCACCGCATGGAGACGACGCAAATGTCCATCCACAGATGAAATGATAGCCAGAAAGGACACATCTCTAACAGCCATGGGCCTGGCCAACCTTATGCAAGTGAAGTAAGCCAGACACAAAAGGATAAGTATTGTAGGATTCCACTTCCATGAAGGACTTCAAACAGCCAAACGCGTAAGACAGACAGTAGGATCGAGGCTACCAGAGGCTGGAGGGAGGGGGAGGGGGAGTTAGTGTCAGGGGGTACAGAGCTCCTATTTGGGGTGATAAATAGGTCCTGGAAACGGATAGCGACGATGGCTGCACTATGTTGTGAACAACTTAATGCCACTGAATCATAGACTAAAAGTTGTTAACATAGTAAACTTTATATTATACTAGAGGCCCTGTGCACGAAACTCATGCATGGAGGGGGGAGGGTCCCTCAGCCCAGCCTGCACCCTCTCACAATCCAGGCCCCATTGGAGGATGTCTGTGGGATCAGGCCTAAACCGACAGTCAGACATCCCTCTCACAATCCAAGACCACTGGCTCCTAACCACTCACCTGCCAGCCTGCCTGAGCGCCCCTAACCATTCTGCCTGCCAGCCTGCCTGATCACCCTACCCACCTCTGCCTGCCTGCCTGATCACCCCTAACCACCTCTGCTTTGGCCCCCACTGCTGAGGCTTTGTCTGGAATGACGACCAGAAGGTCATTTGGCTGTCTGGTCTAATTAGCATATTACACTTTTATTATTATAGATATTTTACTGCAGTACTTTGAAATCTCTAAAACAAGCAGACAAACAAAACCACTGACCCCACCGTTTCCACTCTGCATTCCAGGCCCTGGCGTGTCTCTCCGTCCTGGGCTGGAGAAGGGTGAGGGAGGGAGGGAGAGAGAGAGGGAGGGAGGGGCACAGACCAGGAGACAGCCCCGGCCGACCCGCGGTACCTTGAGTCTCATAGTAGACGACACCCGCAAAGTGGTTGATGCCGAACTGGGTGTCATGGTTGTTCTTGGGAGGAATGTAGTTGGCGTTGAGCTTGTGCTGTGAGTTCAACTTATGCAGCATGGTGGTGTCCGTGCCCTGTGGGGACCGAGGGCAGCGGTCGGGCCTCCCCCCCCCCACTCCCCCTCCCATCCACTCCCCCCACTCTCCACCAGGCCCCACTGCCTGTCCTGCCCCAGGTCACTGCACCCCCTCTTCTGTCTTTCTCAAGAGCTTTCCTCCCCTTATTTATAGCGCTCTGAGCCCCCACTTCCCCATCGGTTAAGTGGGTGAAGTGGATCAACACAACCACGATAGCACATTCCAGTTTAGAAAATTACTCCCGGGAGGAAGACCCTGGGCACAGTCCCGCCCCGCTCCGGGCCCTCGTCCGTGTCTGGAGCACCGAGTCTGCACGCTCAGGTCTTCGGCGTTTGGTGCAGCACCCAGTGGGTTGTGCTGATTTCCAAAGGCCAGGTGAATGCACGGGAACTGGCCCCGAGCCACCCTGAGAGCGGGTGACATTAGCCCCACTTTGCAGGCGAGCAAAGCGGAGCCTGGGTGTGGAGGATAGGACCCCCCCCCCCTCCCCGTCCCCCGCCCCGCCGGCCCACCTTGGGGAACTTGCTCTCCTCGTCGATGAGGGAGATGATGTTCATGGGCTTGTTGGCGATCATGTCCAAGGCGTCCTGGTTGTCGGTGAACTCGATGTGCAGCCAGTCGATGCTCTCCAGGTCGTACTCCTCCTGCTCCAGCTTGAACACGTGCCTCACGAAGAACTGCTGCAGGTGCTCGTTGGCGAAGTTGATGCAGAGCTGCTCGAAGCTGGGCAGGGCGTGCACGGGGACACGGGGACAGGGGGTGCCGTTCAGGGCCTGTGCCACCACCTGGGGGCCAAGGTCTGCCTCCGCGTCTGTGGGGGGCCGGCACTGTCACACACACACACACACACACACACACACCCCATGTGCAGGACAGGACACCAAGGACCGGCGAGAGCAAAGCACCCCCCTCCCCGGCCACTCAGTGAGTCAGAGGGAGGGAGAGGTAAAGCCAGGCCCGGGGCTCGGACCCTCCCCTGCATGGCCAGGCCCCGGGGAGGGCGGACAGCTGGGCTCCAGCCCCAGGCAGAGCACTCGCTGGAGGGGAAGAGCCGAGGCGGGGAGGGGGCCCAGGAGGAGAGGCCCAATGTCAGCGGGCTGGGGAGGGGCTGGGAGATTTGGAAGCAGAGCCCCGACAGCTGACATCTCTGAGCCACCAGCTCAGCGCCCGCCCGGCGACACCCCGTGAATTCCACCTGGGCGTTTCGGCGGGCGCGGGGAGGGCTTCGAGTCCTCCAGACTCCACAGGAGCGGAAGGGACTTGCCAGGGGTCACGCAGCCAGGAAGCGGGGCAGGGCCGGCCGGCTGCCTGCCACCTGGGCCTGCTCCAGCCGCCTGCCCGCACGGCCCCCCAAGAGTGCGGGCCTCCGAGTGTGGCCAAGACCCCCCATCTCAGCCTGGGCTCAGGACCAGCCTCACTTGCCTCTGGGCACCTTGCAGCTGGGCACAGGCCGGTGGGCAGCAGGGCCTGGAGTGTCCTGGACGATATAAGAGCCTCCCCCCTCCCCACCACCACCCCCTCCTCGCTGGCCTCAGCTGGCCCCGGGGGACTGGAGGGGGCGGGGAGGAAGGGGAGAGGGCCCACAGGGACGACTGGAGTCACATTTCCCAGCAGCCTGGGTGTGTGTGTGTGCGCGGCCGACCAATGCAGCCTGAAGGGAGAGACGTGACCGTCCTGTCTGTGTGGTGGGAGGAAAGCCCGCAGAGCCCCACTGCTTGCTACCTGTTGACGGCGAAGTTCTCGAACCCGAAGATGTCCAGGAGGCCGATGGACCGGCGGGAGTTCTGCACGTCCTGGGAGGGGGGCTTGTAGATGGCGGCGTTGATCTTGTCCACGATCCACACGAAGAGCCGCCCGTAGATCCCCTGAGAGGCAGGCAGGGCGGCGGCGTCAGCTCCGGCCCCGCCACCGCCTCCCGGGGGACAGGCCTCCCTCCGGCCCCTCCCGCGGGGCAGCACGCTCTGACCCCCCACGCCTTCACTCACGCCGTCCCCCTGCCCCGAGCACCCTTCTCTGCTTGGACAATTCCTACTGGTGTTTCAAAGCTCCCCAGGAAGCCCTCCCCGACCTCAGGGTGCGGGGACCCCTCCTTTGACCCCCATGTCTCCGCCCATCTCTGTCTCCCCATCAGCTCTGGATGCCAGGAGGGGCCCCGAGCCCAGCACAGGGCCTGGAGCAGGGACAGCAGGGGTGAGGGTGGAAGCAGGCAGGACTCGGCACCCTGGCCACCCAGCCCAGCCTTCCTTGGTTGTCTTCTCTGGAGAGACCAGAGAGGGCAGGGCGCCCCTGGCTGGGAGAGTAGCACAGCAGAGAGAGTGCCAAAGGGTGCCCCCGGGGCTGGAGAGCACAGCAGGTCAGGTCAGAGGGCCTGAGGGGACCAGCGCGGGCAGGGCCTCTGGGGGCCCAACCCCCAGGCCCTTGTGGGATACAGCCCAAGGCAGCCAGGGGCTGGAGCCTGGGTCCAAGGGCAGGTCGGGTCACGGCCCAGAGGCACACCAGCTCCGTGGACCCCTCGGCTCCCGCCCGTCCGCCGGGGGAGGGAGGGGAGAGCAGGGGCCCCCCCCACAAGCCACCTTGACGAAGGCGTCGCGGACGTCCAGCGCCTGCTCCCGGCTGAGCGGGGTGGACACCGTCTCGCCGCGGGTGATGAGGGTGCGGCTGGTCAGGCAGTTCATCAGGTCCGGGGGGTTCACCTGGGAGGGTGACACCAGGAGCTCACCCAGCCACCTGCCGGCCAGACCCTCCCTGGAACTCCCACCGCACCCAGAACCCCTCCCTCCTCACAGCCAGGCCTCCCTCAGACTGTTCCCGCCACAGAGAATGCCCTTCCCGGACCCTGCAGCCAATCCTCCCCAACCGCCCACCCCCCAGCGCTGCGGGAGGGAGGGACCTGCTCTCTGCCGGCCCCTGCCTGCTCCCCCCCCCCCACCCCCCAGCATGTTAACCTGCCCTTCCCAGCACTGGCTCTCGCTCTGGCTTTATTCATCGCCGTCTTCCCGCCCAGGGCTGAGCCCAGCGTTTGCTAAAAGACTGACAGGCTGATTCCCTCGGGGCCCCCACCCCCTGGTCCCCCAAGTCCCTGCTGCTCCCAGGACCCACTGGGCTAAGCCAGGCTCTGGGCTCTGCTCCGCCTAGGGGCCGGCGCCCGGCACAGAGCCTGGGCAGCGTGGCTTCTCCGTGCCGAATTCCTGGAACTTGCCCAAGCAGAGGTCCCAGCTCCTCGGGCCCCACATGCTGAGCCCCTGGGCCTGGAGTCAGAACTGTCTCCGCTCTGAGAGAAGCAGAAACAGCCGAGGGGACGGGAGACCGGGCACTGACCTCGAGCAGGGATGCAGCGGTGGCCAGGGACGGGGAGAAGAGCACCTCGCACGCATCCAGGTTTTCAAATGTCCTGGCTGTCAGCAGCAAGAGGGCACAGCGTCAGGCAGGGAGGGCGGCACGGGGCGGAGGGGGCAGTCTGAGGGGACCGATGCCACGCCTGAGCTCAGGGGGCCGCCCTGTCCACGGAGGACACCATACTCCGATTTAAAGCTTCGCTGTCTGGTCTGTGTACGTTGGATGAAAGTTCTCATCATGAACGATGGGCACCAGGAGCTTAGAAACCGTGTGTATCCAACACCTGGCTCTCCGCCTGGCACCCGGGTATCCGACAGGGGCAGTCATGCCTCCCCCGCCCCCCAGCCTTCACTCTAGACTCCCGGGACCATCGGTGGCTCCTCTGAGACAGGTTCTGTGACCGTGCTTGGCTCGGTGCCTGGTGCTCTCTGTCCTTCCCCCAATGCTTCCCCAGGCCTCAGAGACTCTGCCGGTGCGCTCTTCCCTCATCTCTGAGACTTTTCTTAAGGGATCGTTTTGAGAGAGAGGAACATGGATTTGTTTTTCAATGTATTTATGCATTTCTCTTGGTCTTTTAAGACTCACTAGACTGTGAGCTTCTCAGAGCTGGGATTCTTCATTCATTCACCACACACTTCCCAAGAGCTCAGGCTCTTACTCAGTCGAGGGACCGTGTTGGGCACCAAGGGCCAGGGCAAAGTGGCACTCGGCGCCTGCCTTAGAGGGCCACCTCCCAGCCTGGCACACAGTAGGTGGCCAGGGAGTGTTAGATGAGTGAACATATTCTCTTTCCTAGCTTTCCCCTTTTCTGAAGATGGCCGTTTAATCACTCATACCTCAGTATGAATTAATTCAAACACTGACTCCCTCTCTAAGACACCTGGCCTTAAAGAAGAAACCAAATTTGGAAGTGGTTTTTAAAGGGCCACCAGGGCCCTAGCCAGTTTGGCTCAGTGGATAGAGTGTCGGCCAGCAGACTAAGGGTCCCAGGTTAGATTCTGGTCAAGGGCACGTGCCTGGATTCTAGGCTCAATCCCCAGTAGGGGGTACGCAGGAGGCAGCTGATCAATGACTCTCTCTCTCTCTCCCTCTCTGAAATCAATATATATAGATAGATATAGATATAAATATAGATATAGATATAGATATAATTTAGATATAGACATAGACATAGACAAAGACATAGATATAGATATATAGATATAACTTAGATATAGACATAGACATAGACATAGACATAGATATAGATATAGATATCACCAATAGTCATCTCCCCACCCCCCATTGCACATCTCTCTAGGGGAATTCCAGCACAGATCACCACCCCTGAGGCTAGGGGACCAGTTCAAATCACCCACAGGCGGATTCTCCCGCAGAAGGCACATGCTGAGATGGAATCGGAGCCCCCAGCCCCCCCTGGACGGTGAGGTGTCCTGCAGCCCTAGGACCCAGCTCGGGGTTGGGAGGTGGGGGTCCGCTGAGGCCCCTCACCCTCGTACTGCAGGTTGCCGAGGTGCAGGATGGAGGCCAGGAGCTTGGAGATCTCCCAGTTCTCCGTGTCAGTGAACATGAGCACCTTCATGGCCGAGCGGATGTTGGCATACTCCTGGCTGTCCTCGCGGCCCTCGCAGGTTGTGCAGTTGCCCTGGTGGGCAGGAGGGGCAGTGAGTGAAGGGGCACAGGGGGCCCTCGCTGCCCAGCCATGCAGCCTGGCTCGGGGCACCGACCGCACCTCACGGGCACTGTGACTCCCAGGAAGACACATCTTCGCCTGGAGCCCTGGGCACCCCTTTCCCATGAGTGAGAGAGGCTGGGTCACTAACACTAGACCTGGCCCAGCCCCCTGCCTGGCAGGCACAGCGCCAAGGCCCTGCCATGCTCCCCTCCACCCATGGACACCCACCCTCAGGGACTTGAACCCCCAACCGGATGCATCCTGGGGTGGAAGGAGCATTGGCAGGGCCTGCCCCATGGTGTGTGCCTGTGTGTGTGTGTGTGTGTGTGTGTGTGTGCGTGCGTGTGTGTCCCTGGGTCTGGCATGTCTACATGCATAAGGTGCGTCTGTGGGGAGAATTAGTCTAGATGTGCTTGCAGGCAGGTGTGCACCCAAGTGGGGAGCAGGCCTAGGGCACACACAAGCCCGGCGTGGGCTGGGGCTGGGGCAGCGAGAGGATGGGAGAAGGCCCCCGTGGAAATTCCCGCCCGCCCGGCCTGGAGCTGGTGGCTGCCCCCGACCTCCCTGGGATGGCACCCCCTCCCCGATCCCCACCGGGCCTCACCATAGCCAAGTAGTTGTAGTCGGTGGCCTGGCCCAGGCCCAGCTTCCTCTTCTGGTCCTCGCTCATGCCCTCCAGCATGCAGTAGAACACGTGGTAGTTCCTCTCGTCCGGCGCCTGCAAACGGGGACAGGAGTTGGAGCAGGAGCGCGGGAGCAGGCCGCCAGGAGCCATTAGGAAGCTTGCTGTCTGAACAGGTGGCTTCCAGGGGAACAGCTCCCTGGGGGCTCCATGGCGGGTGCCGGGCCTGCGAGCAGGCCGCAGCCTGGGGACGGCGGAGGCTATTGGGACGCGTAGCCCCCACGCGGCACTGCGGCCGGGGTTCCGGGCGGGACCGCCCCGGCCCCGGGCCCGGGCCCACCTGGCGGCAGACGCGCGACTTCTCCAGCAGGTACTGCTCGATCTTGGCGCCCTCGATGGCGCCCCGCTTGTTGAAGTGGATGTCGATGTACTTCCCGAAGCGGCTGGAGTTGTCGTTGCGGATGGTCTTGGCGTTCCCGAAGGCTTCAGGGTGGGCAGAGGGTCACGGGCACGGTCAGCCCCCGCCTGGCCGCCCGGCCCTCCCCGGAGGCCCCTGGCCCTACCTTCCAGGATGGGGGTGGCCTCCAGCACCTGCTGCTCGATCCACGAGTGCTGCCCGCTGATGGCCGCCAGGAACTGCAGGATCAGCTTCGTGCTCTCCGTCTTCCCTGCCCCGGACTCCCCACTGCAGGGGCCCCCCGGAGAGAGGCAGGGCCTGTCACGGCCTGTGCTGTCCCCCTCCCCACAGCGCTCCAGCCCAAGCTGCTTCCCCCACGAGCCCTCCCCCGCCTGTGTGACGGGCTGACAACACAGACCTCCCACGACTGGGCAGGCTGGAGGAGCTCACTGCTCTGCCACAACCAGAGGCTGCTTTCCTTCCCCTTCAGGCAGGCATGCACACCCCTCCCCCCCACTTGCCACATGGCATGGCACGTATGAGACACTGGGTCATGCTCTGTCCTTTTACCCTCTGCCCAAGTAAGAACAGGATCCTGAGCTCTCAACGGACCATAACGTACTAGGAGCCAGCAGCAGGTAAGGTTGGCCTCAAAAAGCTAACAGGAGCTTTGGTCGCATTAATAGAGATCTAAGGCCTGGGAAAGGGGAGGTGATTCTCTGTAGGAGGAGGAGACATCAGCAGGAGCCCATAGTGAGTGCTCTCGGGGTTAAGCCTGGACCGCCACACGGGGGCGGGCTGCCCACCTGATGATGCAGCACTGGTCGCGGCTGTTCCGCTTCATGTTGAAGTAGCAGTTGTCGGCAATGGCGAAGATGTGCGGGGGCATCTCCCCGATCTTCTTGTTGGTGTACTGGCGGATGTGCTCCGGCGAGTAGATGGAGAGCAGCTGGTAGGGGTTCACTGCCACCAGGATGGAGCCCGTGTATGTCTGTGGGCAACAAAGACCAGGGAGCTCTGCCTCCAGAAGGCCCTCGGGTTCTGTCTGCTCCGTCCCTCTGGCTGTGGAGCCACCTGGCTCTGGGGTCAGAATCCTGCCTCCCTGTGATCTGGGGGCGGGTCTTCAGACCAGCCCTGGGCCTGGCTCAGGGGAGGTGTCTGGGACATTTGATGAAGGGAGGAGAGAAGTGAGGAGAGAGGGAGAAAGGGTCTCTGAGCCTTGATTTCTTTGTCTTGATCTGTAAAATGGGCACAAATCAGCTGTTTATGAAAATGAAAGACAATTCATAGCACACTGGAGGGACGCCTCAGAAGCTGGCTCCCACCTTCGCCCCCCCAACCCTGCAGCCCACACTTTTATTTTATTTAATTTTTATTTTTTAAAATACATTTTATTGATTTTTTTACAGAGAGGAAGAGAGAGAGATAGAGAGCTAGAAACATCGATGCAAGAGAAACACCAACCAGCTGCCTCCTGCACACCCCTTACTGGGGATGTGCCTGCAACCAATGTACATGCCCTTGACCGGAATCGAACCTGGGACCTTTCAGTCCGCAGACCGACGCTCTGTCCACTGAGCCAGACCAGTTTCAGCTGCAGCCCGCACCTTTAGAGTGGAATTCTAAGCTGGACCTTTCTGGAACAGAGGGAGTGGAGCCAGGCTCGGGAGCAGAAGGGGCGGGGGGGTGTGGTGGGCCCGGTGGGCCAGGTCCCTGCAGCACTCTCTGTGGGCTCCTCACTCAGTGCACAGCACGGCCACCTGTGCAGAACATCCTGCTGTTGGCCTGGCCCTGCCCTCAGGGGACCACAAGCTGCCAGAACACAGGGAAGCACCAGGGCTACTTCTCCCTCCTCCGCCCTCCCACCCAGCCCGGCTTTAAAAGGGGTGGGCAACATCTCCCTCCCAGGCTGTGGTAAGGCCAAAGGGCATAACCCGGTGCAGAGCGGCTGCCAATGACGCCACCTTCCTCTCTCCTCACACCCCTTCAAACACGACGCCCACCCGCCTGGCCCTGATGGCCACGTGGCGTGAGGCTGGCTCCGGCAGAGCCTGCTCTGGGGCACGCGGGAGGCTGACAGCCCAGCCTGGGGGCGGGGGAGGGAGAGCCTGGGGCTCTGGGGGCTCAAGGACCCCGTGAATCCCTCGAGGTCGGAGGTGAGGGGGAGCAGGTCTCTCGGAAAATCGGGCATGGAAGCACGAAAGGGCATGATCTTTGGAGAAAGGCCGCCCGGCAGCTGAGGGCAGAGGGACGGCTGCAGCAGAGGCCACGGGCAGAGAGGGTATTTCAGACCTAAGAGCCGGTCCGTGGCCGGGTAGGGGCAGGGGCAATGGCAGAGGCCCCGGCTTGCTGAGACCCCGGGAGCACCTTCCTGGGGCCCCGCCCCTCCTCCCACAGGACCCGCCCCTCCTCCCACAGGACCCGCCCCTCCTCCCACAGGACCCGCCCCTCCTCCCACAGGGCCCCGCCCCTCCTCCCACAGGGTCCCGCCCCTCCTCCCACAGGGTCCCGCTCCTCCTCCCACAGGCCCCGCCCCTCCTCTCACAGGACCCGCCCCTCCTCCCACAGGACCCCCCCCCTGGCCTCTCCGCTGGGCCTTCCTGAGCGCCAGGCCCTCAGTCCCCTGCCTCCTGCATGTCCCCACTGATGCCCACCGGCCTGTCCAGACCAGACCTCCTCTCCCTTCCAAGCGGCTCCTGCTCAGCCCCCTGCTCTGCCAACATGCCACCCCCTCCCTCCACCAGGCAGAGCAGGGCCCCGGGGGGAGCTCCCTCCTCACCTCTCGCTCCTGCATGCAGCCCACCTCTCTCCATCCGCGTGGCCACCCCCTGCTGGCCAAGCACCTCCCCAGAGAGGGGCAGGGCCTGTCACAGTCTGTGTTGTCCCCCTCCTCGCAGCCCTCCCCGTCTGTGTGTTGGGCTGACCACACAGACTGGGCAGGCCGGAGGAGCTCATTGCTCTGCCACACCCAGAGGCTTCTTTCCTTCCCCTTCATGCAGACATGCACCTCCTTCCTCCCAGCACTCCCCCTGTGGGAGCGCACTGATCGCCAGGGGGCAGCTCCTGCATTGAGCATCTGCCCCCTGGAGGTCAGTGTGTGTCACAGCGACCAGTCAATCCACCAGTCATTCCACTGGTCCTCGCTGTTCAGTCCATTTGCACATTAGGGCTTTATTATATAGGATACACATATACAGTCAGCCCTGTATGTCCGCAGATTCCCCATCTATGGATTTAACCAACCGCGAGAAAACGATACGTTGTTGCTAACATACTATGCAGTTGGCCAATGATGGTTGGGTCTAAACTGAACATGTGTAGACTTTCTTCCTTGTCATTATTCCCTAAACAACAACAACTGCTTACATTGTATTAGGTGTATCAGAGGTGATTTAAAGCCGTGGTCGCCAACCAGGGGTCCATGGACCACTCACTGGTGGTCGGTGAGGTCTGAAAGTTGGCGACCGCCGACTTAAGTATACAGGAGGGGGCGCCTGGGTTATCTGCAAGCACCACACCTTGTTCTACGAGGGATTTGAGCATCCGGGGATTTGGGCATTGACTGGTGGTGCCGGCCCCAGTCCCCTGTGTACACTGGAGGATGGACTGGAAATTAACCGCCGTGGTTCTCTGCGTGGCAGAAGGAAAACGTTATAATCTGAGGCACGTAGACCCACTTCAAAATAAGGAACAAAAACAAGGCCCCTTCCTTCGGGAGAGGACCCTCCCCCGCAGGAGGGCGAGGACGCCCCGCCTGACGGGAAGGTCCCCGCTGGGCGCAGGACTCCGCACGTCCACACTGCCTCCCCTCGCCTCCGCAGGAGGCCGCTGAGCAGTGCGGTCACGTTCCCTCTCAGAAGGGAGAACCGAGCCTCCGAGGAGGAGAGGGACTTGGAGATCACACACACGGCAGATAAGCAGGGAGTGGGGTGAGCAGGGGACCTGGGCCCAGAGCCCCAGCTCCCGCTTTCCCACCTGGACATCCCCAAATCCCGGGATGCAGGGGTCGGGGGGGGGGGGAACGGTGGAGCTGGCAGAGGGCGGAGTAGAAGAAGCACGAGGCTCGCCACTGCCAGCTTGAGACCAGGCCCGCCTGCCCGTCTCTGGGCCTCAGTGCCCGTCCAACCCCACAGCTCTCAGCACTGCCTCCGAGCCCTCTGGCCCCTCTCTCCAAGAGTCCACAGTCAGCAGACAGGGAATGCCCACTTGCCCAGTGCGGGTCTCCTGCTCAAAGTCTCCAGTAATAAAACCTGCCCTGTGGGGCTGGGGGCCGGGCTGGAGGACAGATAAGGGCTATTCCCGAGCTCCAGCACAGCACACAGAGTCCCTAAGGGCCTCCAGGTCCCCAGGGAGAGATCGGGGGGCCTCCCTGGGGCCAGAGATACCCGCCAGGAGACGTGGCGGGAATCCATTTTACCTCAAGCTCCGCCTCCTCCAGGAAGCCCTCAGGCCTGCCAGCCTGCAGCCTCTGCCTTAGCAGCCCAGGAATACCCCGACGCAGCCTGGGGCACGCACAGCTCCCCAGTCACAGAGGTGCCCACCCACGAGTCTGCTCATTGCACCAGAGGGAAGGCTGCGGCCAGAGTGGCAGGGACTCCGCAGAGGCCGCTTGCCAAGACGTGGGTCCAGGCCTCTGTTCAACTTCAGGACGTCCTGGGTCCCTGTCAGCCCTGCCACCCGTTCCCTGCAGAACCCAGGGACAGCCCCCGGCCTCCGGGCCACCCACTGAGAGATGGCTAGGTGTCCTCGGGGGGCCCTCTGCTATTGGGGCCCCCGGGCTGACTGTGGCCTGGGGACCGCCGTCCCTCGGGCCCCTGGGGGCAGGCCAGCCGGCGCGGGCCAGCCCAGGGCGGACGGTCAGGGACAGGGTGTGCCCCGCTCGAGGCCGTGAGCCGCCGGTAACCTGAGGAAATCCTGGGTGTGCGGGACGGTGCCCAAGTGGCCAGGGGTTGCCATGGTGAGGGGCAGGTACGGTTTCTGAGTGGGACGGCGGCCCAGCTGCTTCTTCAGAGCCCTGCCCTCCTCCTCCATCACCTCCTCCATCACCCACCCCGTCACAGAGTCCAGGAAACTCCCTTGAACCCCGCAGTTCCTGAGCACGACCTCCCAGACCCCCAGAATCCGGGGCCTGTGGATGAGAGGGCCGGGGCCTTCCAGGGGCCACGGCTTGGTCTTCTGACCAGACCTCTGAAGGAAGGGGCTCCATCCCCTGGTTCCCCTCCCTGCCTCCCGATCCTCACCCAGGAGAGGGGTCAGAAAGGTTACTAGAGACTCTTCCCATGAGGCAAAGGTTTTCTGGAGAACCTGTGACCTCTGGGACTGTTTTCTCTGACCCCTAGCCAGCCTACTGAAGGACACCATGTCCAGCTGCTTTCTCCGCCAGCTGCCAGCCCATCACAAACGGGATTCACTGACCCGGGGCTCTGATGGTTCCCACCCACCGCAGCCCTTGGCAATCCCGTTTTCGCCGTTTTCCTTGATTCCGTCTACTAGCCAACTCCCTCCCAATTTTGCAGACACACTGGTTGCTCCCGTGGGCCTCCACCAAATGACTAACTCCAAGCCTCAGACTGGTTCTCAGCCGTGGTCTGCAGGGTCCACGGTGGAGCCCCTCCCGGGGGGGGGGCACAGCCTCCCGGCTGGAGGGTGGGTCAGGAAATGGCTCTGGCAGTGACCTCGGGCGGGTGGGCACCCCCTGCTGCATCCACCCCCTGCATCCACGGCAGCCCTGGACTTTCTCCCCTCCCTCCCCGGTGTCCACCTGCCGTCCAGGGAGAGGAGTGTGTGTGGGGGGGGGGGGGCTCTGCCAACGACGGGGTGCAGACTCCAGTGGGCCCTCGGGGGGAATGTCTGGCCTTGACTCGAGTTCTAGCCCCACGCCCTGTCCGTGATTGCCGCTTGCTGTGCCTGCACCAGGGGAGGACTCCGAGGGCCCAGACACAGCCTCTCCTCGGGAGGCACCAGCGTGGGGAGGGTGGCAGAGGGCCTCCCAGCAGCTCCGGGGCCACAGGGGACCGGCCCCTCGGCCGGAGAGCTCCTCGCTGCCATTCCTCAGGGACAGCCCCTGGCTCCCCTTCACGGTCCTGACAACCGGAGCGACGCCGTGCCGCTCACTCACCGGGCATGGTCCTGCTCCGGCGGCACATGAGCTGTGGTGCAAGCAGCCCCCTTCCCGAACCACAGACCACACGGCCCCAAAGAGAGGCTGAGCCAGCCCAGGGACGCCGGGCCAGGCCGGGCCGGGCCGGGGCGGGGAGGGGGGCGGGCGGCGGCACTCACGTAGATGAGGTGGTCCCGGTAGCGGATGAGCAGGTTGCGCAGGATGCCGGCCTCGTTGAGGTCCCCCAGGCGGATCATGTCCTCCACGCCGTGCACCGACGTGGGGTGCATGGGCTTGATGTGCGGGGCCTTCTGCGGGGTGATCCAGTGTTCCTGCGGAGGCACGGGGGCTGTGTCCAGGGGCGCTCCTGCACCCCAGGCTGCGCTCCGCGGGGGGAAGGCCCTGGGCAGGGGGGAACCCCAGTCCGTGCGACCCCGCTAAGGGTTTTGTTCTCCTTCCCCAGCCGAACGCCATCCGTACTAATGTGCGAGTCTATGACGGTGGTTGGCAGACTCATTCATTAACAGAGCCAAACATCAACAGGACAACGATCGACATTTCTTTGGAGAGCCAGATTTTTTTAAACGTAAACTTCTTCTAACGCCACTTCTCCAACATAGACTCCAACACCAGGCCGTGGTGTTTTTGTGGAAGAGCCACACTCAAGGGGCCAAAGAGCCGCATGTGGCTCGCGAGCTGCAGTTTGCCAACCACGGGTCTATGAGGGAGGTACTGTCCGCCCCCAACCCCCATGGGTCTCTTCCCCCCCCCCCCCCTCTTAGGGCTTCTCCGGACAGACCTAAGAGGAAGGCAGGCCGGGACTCTGGGCCCGTAAGGTTGTTATAAAGGGGGTGAGGGTCCCCAGTCACGCTGCGGGATGGAATGAAAAGCGTAATACGTGGAGTAAGCCTCGGCTTCCAGTCTAGACTCCGGTAAACAAATGCACAAAAAGCACTTTCAGAGAGTCCCAGGGATAAAGCAACAGGCACGGAGCATGGAGAGCCACCGGGGGTGCGACGTTGACAACGTGGTCAGGGGCCACCTCTCCGAGGCGGTGATAGCTACGCTCAGGCCTGAATGATAAGAAAGGGGCCCGGTAAGATGTGGGAGTCCCCGCGAGAGGAAATCCCAGGTCCAGGGAACGGCAACAGCACAGGCTCTGAGGGTGGAGGAGGGCGGCAGCCGTGGAGACGGGGGGAAGTGGGCTCATTGGGGGTGTATTTCACTGGCTTGATGCACGGAGAGCGAGCTGGGGGACGGGGAACGGGGTGGGGGTGGGGCACTTTCATTTCTGAGCTGAAGCAGAAACTACGACAGAGGCTGCCCTCTAGCTCCCCCTCCTCTTCCCTGCAATATTCCCTGCTGCCACCAGGTGGCAGACGATGGAGCATCTGGCCAACAGCATTGACTCCCAACAAACTTGCAAAGCCCAGGTTTCCTCCCAGCGCTGGAAGCCTCCCCCTGCCCCCCCACCCCCGTCCCCTCACCCTTCTGCCTCCCCCTAGTCTCCAGCACCTTCTCCTCACAGTCCCAGCCCTCCAGGGAAGTGAGCCTGACCTGTGCCCTGGGGTGTTAAGCCCCCCACAGACTTCTGGGGCCCCCTCCCTCCTCCCAAATGCCAGAGCCCTGGGAGCTCAGGACCTGGCGGGAACCTGACTTTGGGGAGGGGGTGAAGAGGAGCCTCCGCCACCTTCCAGCTCAAGCCTCCAACTTGCTGAGCAAGTGTGAGGGCCATGTCATGACTCTCCTCCAGGTCCCCCCCCCCCCCCCCCCCCGGAGAACCAGCCCCTGCGGCTAGATGCTAGCAGGAATCTGGGCAGCCCCATCCCCGCCCCCCGCCCCCGCCCCTCACCCCATCCTATCTCACCCCAATCCAACTGGCCACCACTCCTACCCCTTCAATCCTCTACAGCGCCCTCCTCGCCAAACTCAAGCCCCTAAGCTGACCCAGACACCAGCTCTCACCTGGTCCCTGCCCCTGCTGCCCTCCACCTCCCCTCCAGTCCTTCCGTCCCACCCCAACCCCTGGCGTTTCCTCAGGCACCAGTCTGGTCCGACTGCTCGGGGCTTTCGGACCTTCTCTGACTCCCCCACACACATGCTCCTCAGCCTGGTGATCAGGGGCCAGCGGGAGCTCCAGTGACCTCTGTGCTTCCAGGCCAGGGGAGGCTGGTGTCCACGTCCCCAAGAACTCCTGTGACTGGCCCGTGCTGTCCCCTCTGCCTTCTTCCCATCAGCCTTTGAGGCTCAGTTCAGATGCTCCCCAGTTCCCAAAGCCTCCATGACACGTTCACTTGCTCCACCTGTCCCCCCCCCCCCGATCCCAGCCTCCTGCTGCCCCCTCCCCCCCCGTCCCCCTCTGGGTCTCCACGTGGCCGGGGTCTCCCGCTGCAAGGCAAGGGTCACTGTCCGAGAGCAGCTCTGCCCCAACCTTCCACTTTGCCCCAAGGCTGGCGCCCCTGGGCCAGGCTCCCTGCCCGGTGTCCCTTCCTCCGTGCCTCCTACAGGGACCAGGGCAGGTGCCAGCTGGGGGCCACCGCGGACCAGGTCTGAATGGGAAGCAGAAGTCCTGGTCACAGGGAGACCCCGGAGGCCTCCTTTCCCACCCCCACCCCCCTCACTTCACATGGAGACCAGCGCCAGCGCAGCGTGGTGGCCTGCACGACACCACTCGTCTCCCTGGCATTCCGAGGGCCAGGAGCAATTCCATCCGGGTCAGGCCCTCACACAGCTCTCCCCCGGCATGAATGGGCCGGGCGGTGAGATCGAAGAACGCGCCTGGACTTTCCGGGCCCGAGTGGAACATTCCTCTCACCCAGACACCCTGTTCCTCATAAGAGCTGATCCAGGTGGAAAATTCCCTCTGCCTGGTCCCCTCCCCAGAGAGAGGGGACTCCCGGGCAAGCTGTCTGCCTTCCCCACCCGACCCCAACTCTGGGGCCATAGTCACTCCCCCAGCCGCTCAGCACAGAGAGAAGAGGCGCCTCCGCCCCTGCGAGACCCTGTGTGTAACCCTGGGCCGCCACGCCCTCCCCTACGAAGTGGGAATTAGAGCGACTGTCCCTTATTCTCCCGGATGTTGGGAGGATTCTCTGATATACTGAAGGCCGGCCTTTGTTTTCCTCCTCGGAGATCTACAGAGGAGCCAGGGCATTCCTCAGCCAGCGCTGGGTATTGTAAATCCTCAGGACAGAACGACCGGCCGCTGGTTTGCAGCGAGGAGTCACGCTCCAGAGGGACAGCGGCCTGTCCAGAGCTGAATCTCTCCCCGCCCCTTTCCAGCTGAGGCAGCGCCCTCAGATCAATGTCCACCCACAAAGCGGACCAAAGTGTAACCAAGGCAGAAACCAAGGCCTGGCCCTGGGGAGAGACGGGGAGAGATCTCGGCCAAGTGCAGGGACTGTGGCACACTTGCAAAAGAGCTGGCCTGGCACTGAGCTCGGAGAGAGGGGGACCACGGTGTCTGAGAGGAAGGAAGGAGCCGCATCTGGCCATGGGAAGGGGTTAGGCAAAGGCAGAGTGTTAAGATCCCAGTGAGGACTGGAGCCATGGCCTTCCATCCATCACTTATTCACTCATTCAGCAAGCCTCTATGGAGAGTGTTCTAGGCAGACCCTTTGTTGTTGTTTGTTTGTTTTAATATATTTTACTTTTTACAGAGAGGAAGAGAGAGGGATAAAGAGTTAGAAACATCGATGAGAGAGAATCATCGATCAGCTGCCCCTTGCACATCCCCTACTGGGGATGTGCTTGCAACCAACGTACATGCCCTTGACTGGAATTGAACCTGGGACCTTTCAGTCCGCAGGCTGACACTCTATCCACTGAGTCAAACCGGTTTCAGCTGGGCAGACCCTTTATTGATCTCTGGAGAACTGGATTGAGTCACCTGGTCTCTACCCTCAGGTTGAAGAAGTCTGTGGGATGACAGAGGAATGAAAGGGAAGGCCTGGAGTGGGGAGGAGAAAGGCTGGTGAACGAGGAGGCCGGAGCCCAGGCCCCCGATCCCATGGAGGCAAACCCACCCTCCCCATCCTGCTCCCACGCCAGCCGGTCGTGCAGCCCCCACTCTCAGGGCCTTGGTGGGGGCGGGTGGGAGGGGCCCTCCGAGATCCGGTGACACAGTTACGGGACACCATCTGACATGCAACATGACCCGCCTGAAACTCAAGCCTGGGCCCCACCCCGAAGGCTGCCGGCAGGTTCGTGGGCCTGTCTGTGCCGCCAGCCCCCTTCTGTCACTTCCCGGAGAGTCTGAGAACAGGAGCCTCCGGAGTGACACTGCAGGCACTCCCGACCCCGGGGGACAAAAGGTGGACAACGGGAGCTGAGCCCCACGCTGCCGCTGAGATGCTGGGAGGGCAATGGAGTGCGTGGAGGCAGGGGGCCTGGGTCCTCGCCCAGCACCGTCACCTGCAGCTGCCTGACTGGTTCCGCGGCCCCTCTCTGTGCCGCAGTGTCCCCGGGGGACAGGGGCTGCCCACTCTGCCTGTTGCAGATGCCGTGAGGACCCACAGACAGAACGGGGTGGAAGGGCTGTGCCCGCCTGGTGGAGGTGTCCCGGGAGCTGCAGGAGTAACAGTGCCCCCCTCTCCCTCCACGTCCACTACAAGGCCTCCAGTGTCCGGAGTCCTCCCCTCTCCCCAGCAGAGCCTTCTCCTCCAAGTCGCTGTCCGCTCCTTCTCCCCCGTCAGACTAGGAGGCGAAGACAAGGACTCAGTCCCATCTCCATGTCCCCAGTGCTGGGCACAGCACCGAGTGCAGCCCACATTGTGGTGGAACTGAACCTCTCCGAGTCCCTCGTGTCCCCGCGAAGCAGCCACCCTGTTCTCTGCACCACATCCGCATGTCCCCATGCACACACACACACACACACGTGCCATACACATGCACACGTGCTCAGGGGCTCCCCCTCGGAGCCCTCATCCAGACCATGCACCTTCCTCACACCTTCCCTTCTCTCCTCAGAGCCCCAGTCTCACCGCCTCCCGACGCACACTTTCCCTTCAGGAGACAGAGGAGAGAGACACGGGCGGTAAAGGGTGACCCCGTGAGGCTGGTTCCCGGGGAAGCCGGGCGGACAATGGATTCGCAGGATGCCGTAACCCTATAGAGCCAGGCCGAGGGCGTTCTCAAGCTCTCACTTTCCTGGGGTGTCCTCCATGTGCCAGCTCATGGGTGGCTCAACACCCTGTGACACGGTTCCGATGACCCCCATTTCACAGAGGAAAACGGCGAGGCTTGGGAGGAGAAAAGACGTGGCAGAGCCTGCACAGCCAGTGAGTGGGCAGGATGGAACGAGAACCCAGTCTGTCCAACCCCGCAGCACACCAGTGTCCGAAGGGCGCCCAGCCCGGGCCCCCCTGCCTCGCCGTACACACACAGACCCACGCAGACACCTATTCCTAAGGCTGGGAAGGATGGACTATGCTTGTGGACACAGAACAGGCAGCCTGGGCCAGAGCAGAGAACTCCATGGAGGGCGGGGGGCAGAGAGAGGAGACAGTGAGGGCACAGGCACCAACTCTACCCCTTGAGGCGGGTCTCTGCTTGGCGCCTACCTCAGGTCACCTGTCGGCCTGTGTCGTCCCCAAGGCCTGGGGCTGGGGGGAAAGGGGGGGGGACTACTCACATTGCCCTCATCGTCCACCACCTGGATCTGCCCGGAGTCGCAGAGCTTCACCACCGCCCCGATGGGCACATCGAACTCCTGCCCGGACCTCAGGTCCATCCAGACGTAGTCCCCCTGTGGGCGAGAGACAGGGGTGCCCAGGCCGGTGAGCCGGGATGAGGCTCGGGCACCCCTTCCACGCAACCCTGTGCCCATCCCTACCTCCACCAGAGGCTTCTGTGCCAACCACAGGGGAGGGAAGAAAAGGGTACTTGCATGTGCTGAAAGCCATTTGGTGCCAGCGCTGGGCTGGGCATTTTTGCAATGCCATCACCCCCTCCTCTGCGGCAGCCACCACTGCCCTGATTTTACAGGTGAGTAAGCAGAGGCCCAGAGACAGGAGCCGAGATCGCACAGCTGGGCGGCTTCGACCCCAGGCCCGTCCCAAGCCCGGCTCTCAGAGGGGACTCACTGAGGTTTGGGCACCCAGACCATGTCTCCTCTGTCCTAAAGGAGCCCCACAGGACACCCGGACGAGGTGGGTTCTCATGGTTGTAATTAAGGGCTCCTCACAGGGACAGCGCTCCGGGCCGGGCCCTGTGATAGGGGTGCAGCTGCACTGTCTCCCGGCTTGTGGGGGGAATGTCACGTTTGTGTCCCCTGAAGCATCTGCCATAGGGCCTGGCTCTCAGCAGGGCACATGGAGGCCAAATGTAAAGCCCAGAGTCTGAGAAATGGAGTTCCAGCAACCTCTTTCAGCGACGATGCATTCAACAAGCACATATGGAGCACCTGCTGAAGACAAAGCCCTGGCGGAGAGGCATGCCGGGATCGAGCAGCGACATGGCGTGCACACGCTGGCTGGGAGGACACAGAGAACAAAGAGCCGAGCGAGTCCGTGAACACGGCCCCGCTGAAGGGTGGTGAGGGCTGTGATGGAGACAGGCACAGTAGTCGCCAGGGAAGCCACTCTGATAGGAAATCTCTGAGCTGAGACCCGACGGCAAGAAGCAACCAGACAAGGAAAAGAACAAGGACAGAAATCTGGGCAGAGGAAACGGCACCTGCAAAGGCCCCGGGGCAGGGAGGAATGGCAAGGAGGCCATTGTCAGGACCTGAGGCGAGAGAGGCCGGTCACAGAAGGGGGCACGCTCCGGGGAAGAGCGGCTCTCATTGGCTGGCAAGTGAAAGTTTGGATTTTAATCAAAACGACACGCGGTACCACCTCACACCTGTCAGGATGGTTATCATCAATAAATCGACAAACGAGTGCTGGCGAGGATGCGGAGGAAAAAGAACCCTCCCGCACTGCTGGTGGGAATGCAGACTGGTGCAGCCACTGTGGAGAACAGTATAGAGTTGGCTCAAATAGTTAAAAATGGGCTGGGACCGGTTTGGCTCAGTGGATAGAGGGTCGGCCTGCGGACTGAAGGGTCCCGGGTTCGATTCCGGTCAAGGGCATGTATCTTGGTTGCGGGCACATTCCCAGTAGGGGGGTGTGTAAGAGGCAGCTGATCGATGATTCTCTCTCATCGATGTTTCTAACTCTCTATCCCTCTCTCTTCCTCTCTGTGGAAAATTAATAAAATATATTTTAAAATAATAAAATAAAAATGGAACTTCCATTTGACCGCTGGCCACTCGGAGCCTCCGTTTCCACAGGTCTCAGTGAGAGGTGGGATCCCACATCTGGAACTATATCCCAAGAAACCAGAAACACCCATTAGAAAGGATATATGCACCCCTGAGTTCATAGCAGCACAATTTACAATAGCTACGATTTGGAAACAGCCTAAGTGCCCATCAGCAGATGAGTGGATTAAAAAACTGTGGTACATAATACTATGCTGCTATAAAAAAGTAGGAACTTTTACCATTGCAGCAGCATGAATGGAACTGGAGAGCATTATGTTGAGTCAAATAAGCCAGTCCAAGAAAAATAAATATCACATGATCTTACTCATTTGTGGGATATAATGATCAACATAATTTGATGAACAAGAATAGATCCAGCCAAAACCGGTTTGGCTCAGTGGATAGAGCGTTGGCCTGTGGACTGAAAGGTCCCGGGTTCGATTCCGGTCAAGGGCATGTATGTTGGTTGTGGGCACATCCCCCGGTGGGGGTTGTGTAAGAGGCAGCTGATCAATGTCTCTCTCTCATCGATGTTTCTAACTCTCTATCCCTCTCTCTTCCTCTCTGTAAAAAATCAATAAAATACATTAAAAAAAAAAAAAAAAAAAAAAAGAATAGATCCAGAGACAAATGGTAGGGGATGGGGGGGTTAGAAAGCAACCAAAGGACTTGTATGCATGCATATTAGCATAAGCAATGGACACAGACACTGGGGCGGTGGGGGCTTACCCGGGGTGGGAATAGCTGCGCGGGGGGGGGGGGGGGGGGGAGTCAATTGGGGGAAAGGAGACATATTGAAAACTTTAGACAATAAGAAAATAAATAAATTAATTAAATTAGAAGTTTGCATTTTATTCTTTTTAGTAATTCCCAAATTCTCCAGGAGGTAGACATCCTAATAAAAACTTAACTTACTATCAAACAGCAGGTAGAAACCTAACAGCTGATAAAAACTGATTTGCAATGAAATTAGCCCATGGGAATGGCCCAAGGCAGTGGCTGGCAAACTCATTAGTCAACAGAGCCAAATATCAACAGTACAATGATTGAAATTTCTTTTGAGAGCCGAAAACCGACTTCTGTGCATGGACCACGAAGTTTCAATCGCACTGTATGTGTGTGCCCGCACCTGGTATTTTGTGGAAGAGCCACACTCAAGGGGCCAAAGACCCGCATGTGGCTCAAGAGTCTCAGTTTGCTGACCATGGGCCCCGGGGAAAAGCTCAGGCTACAGGACCTGCTCGGTCTTGGACCAGTCGCTGGCCACTCGGAGCCTCCGTTTCCACACGTCTCAGTGAGAGGTGGGCTCAGTGAGTCCCAAGGTCAACTCAGCACTGTTCCAACCCCTTCCTGTTCCCACCGGAAACAACTATTGTTCAGCCACCGCTGCCACTGGGGGTCTTTGCTTTGTGGGAGGTTAGCGCAAGTCAGAGACAGGCTTAGTCCAAACCCAAGCTTTTTCCCAGAAAAACAGTCAACAGAATTGGAGAGCCTCTGGGAGGGGAGGAGAACTTCCGTGTTTACTGAGCACCTGCTGTGCGCCCGGCCTGCATGGCTGCTTCCATAAACTGCCCCGTATAACCCTCAGGTCTGCTTTAGTGCCGAGCCCACGCTGTGCTTCCTGAGTGCTCACCCTGGGGCCACCTTTCACTCCCTCCCCTCAGGCTGTTCTTCACCTGCCCACCACCCACCCGCCTGTCCAGCCAGAACAAATAGCAACTCTCCTTGGCCCCTCCGCATCTCCCTACTTTCCTCCTCCTCCTCCTCCTCCTCCTCCTCCTCCTCCTCCTCCTCCTCCCCATGCCTGAAGAGTGCATTCATTAACTCAGCACGCATTTGCGGAGAGCCAGCTGTGGGCCAGTCCTGGTGCAGGCTCTGGGGACAGAGCAGTGACGTGGCGGAGTGCCTGGGGCCGTCGAGGCAGCCATCGGAGAGGACCTAAGCAGGCACCAGGTCCCACAGGCCCTGGAAGCCAGGGACGGGCGCTGGGCTTCTCAGTGTGCCAGGAGCCAGCGGGAGGATTGAAGCAGGAGGAAGGAGTGGTCTGCAGAGCTCCGCCTGGCTGCTCTGTGGAGAATGAAGGCATTGTTGGGTACAGCCAGCACCACGCTGGCTCATCACCCCTGCGTCCACTCCCCACTGGCTGCGGGGCCGGGTCTGAGCCTTCATCTGTGACTTCCCAGGTCAAACACAGAAAAGCAAAACTCGTCTCTCCGAGAGATAGAGATAGAAATAGAGAGAGGCACACATGTGCATATATGTGAGAAGGGGTATGAGTATGTGAGAGAAGAGGGTGTGGAGAGAGAGAGAGAGAGAGAGAGAGAGAGACAGACAGACAGACAGACAGACACACTCCTGGAGGCCGGCTGTGGCACCAGGACACTGCTCTGTGCTGATAGAAATGCAGTGGTCCAGCCAGTCCATAATGACCCCACAGTGGTCCAGGTGAGAAGGAAAATCTCTATTTTGTAAAAAGCTGCTGTTTGGAATTTTCTGTTTTTCTTAGATGGCCTCTTGTTCTAAAATAAATAAATAAATAAATAAATAAATAAATAAATAAATAAATAATGTTTGCTTTCTAGGCTCCTTTAGCCTGCTTATAAAATGATGATCATAAAATTAGCTGTTTGACCTTGCAGGTCAAGACGGTATGCCCATAAATTTAGCTGTGCTTGTTTTCAAGGACAGCAGCGAGATAACCACTGATTGCACAGAGAGCTGGCTCCTTTATAAAAAGGGAAGCTCTGCTTGTACCTTTGCTTAGAATTTGAATTCATTTTCTCAAAGCCCATCGCGAGATGAATAAAATGGGTCTCTCCAAACTCTCTTCCCATGTATTGTTTGATTGTTCGGGAACTCTGTAGCACAGGTGGTGAGTCAGAAGTTTCCCTGAACCTATGTCATGGAACCCATGATAACCTTTAAGCAGAAGATTCTATCTCCACTGATCTCCTCAAGGACATCAAGAAACACGCTCAAGTTCCCACGGCCGTTTGCCTGACCAACTCCAAACCCCGTGCTCTTTCCCGACATGCCCTGGGCCCAGCCCGGAACCAGCTCTGTGAGCAGAATGCAGACCACTGAGAGGGTCTCTGCCCGCAGACGGCTCATGGGCCCCAAAGGCCAGCTGGAAGCTTGGGGCTGGGGGTAGCCAGAGGTCGAGGCTTGCTGAGTCACCTGTACCCCCAACCCAGCTCGGAGTCTGGCACACAGGAAATGCATCCCACTCAGGGGACAGAAAACCAAAATGAAAGAGCTGGTGTCACCAGAGATGGAGGCTCAGAGAGGCTGAGCAAGGAGCTTGGGGCCACACAGCAAAGACAAGTAACTAGAGCCTCCTAACCAAGGCCTGATCTGGGAGGACAGTGACTTACGTGTCTCTGCTTAGGGTTGAACTTGGGAAAAGAGACTAACATGGCAGCTAAGAGGCTTCGGGGAGAATTTCTGGGGCCTGAGGACCCCTGAGGGGGAAAGGCCCCTGGTCCCAGGGCAAGTCCTGG